GAAAACTTCGTTGTACCGTACATAAATTCGAATTTTCGAGGGTACTTGTTGAGCGAACTTTTATTTTTATTCAAAACTTCGTGCTCCAGGATAATAATCAACTGAATTATTGTTATTCGTCTCGCTTGATTGAATTGAACAGTTCCAGCGCGGAAGTTCATTGACTGAAAGATGTTAGCCGTCATTCGGTTCAAGTCGCTGTTGATTAAATTTTCGATTAATCTAGGAATTGTGATATTGCTTGATATGTACTTGATTGAATTTCTGATCAAAAATAGGTTTTGGGCAAAATTTCGTCAATTTTTCGTGCTCGAACGTGATTGAGGAAATGAAAGACGGCATTAAAAGATATGATTGCTGGTTGCCATATTTTTCCAATTTCACTTTTCAAGCCCTCGTGTGATTAATATTCATTGCCGAAATGTTCGAGTGCCCGAATCTGTTGTGCCGAATAGTAATCATGAAAGTTTTTCATGGTGATCGAGTTCAGCATAGAATTCTGGTTTGACAGGACCTATAGAAAGGTTTATGGGATAGATATTGGAATACATCTCTATAGACGTCAACGACGAACACGGTCTATTAATCTAACAATTGAAGTCACAAACAACGCATATACAAATAAGTTGTCAGTTGAAAAAAACATGAAGAGGTAGTGTCTGTCGGAAATCAGAATTAATGCTCTGATTGTCTGGGCCCCTCCTCACCCCCATTTAGCACCTCTCTGGATTTAGAGAACGAAAGAAATGTGCTTGGATTAGCAAGGGTTAGGTGTCGCCCGCATCGGGGGACCTTACTCCATGTTAATTTTCTTCACTGCTGTGTCACCACACGTCCCAAATCAGCTATTTGAATTTTTATTTCATAGGTGTCGCATGCATCGCATTACACCTCCTTTGCTTTCTAGTATGCCTATGCCTTCTTAAATATAGGAATGAACACTGTATTATTTTTACCGGGTTATGGTTTTATATAAACTCAATGTGGTTGTTTTGTAAGTTTTTAGGGTTAGGACAGCTGAAATATGGCATGTGTTGGCAAGATTTTTGCAGCGGACACATTTCAAGTGAAACTGTGTCATTTGATTTTCTTTTCATTTATTTTAGATAACTTTAAAGTCTCAATGTTTTGAGATGAGAGGAACAATTTATATTTTCATCAGCTTTAATTTTGAATCCCCATCTGTTCACAGTGCTTCATTTAGTAGCCATGTGGTTGAGTATAATGTCTGCTGCTTAGACCTGTATACTTTTGGGGTCAAATTTCAGTTCTTCATGACCAAGTGGAAAAAAATATTCTGAAGGTTGGACCAGACATCTGGTTCAACCCTCAAGAACTGATCTTGGAAATGCAGCATTAGTGATACAGATGTCACTGCTGAAACGGATCATAAGCCCCTTTTTTATTGACCGTTTTTGCATTGTACTTTTATTTTGGTGGTTGCAAATGGAAGAATGTTGACTTTTTGGAGAATGCAGAAGTTTTTGCAGATTTTAGTATTTCTTGTACTGTACAGATGGACTTCCTCTCTGCAATAAAATTCAAGGGATCAGAGATAAATTGTAGAGAGAATTTTGTGGTTGAGGGAGAGAAACCTGGACCAGAACAAAAATCATTCTGCAGAGAAAATTGTAATAGAGAGAGTCCACATGTATGTGGATTTTTTTTTTCAAGAAGAATGTTGGACTGAATAATTTTCACATTTTTCATAATTTTGCTGAAAGAACGCGAGAGCTCTTGGATAACATGGGCGAATTTTTTTTGGCTATTTGATTTTACTACAAGTTTAACTGATTCTCTTTTTTATTTCTGTGACCGTCTGGGATTTTTCTTTGTTTCTTGAAACCATAAACAGTAATTGGGCTGACAGAAATAAGTCGCAAATTTCAACATTTTTTTTTTGTTGGACGCGAGCTCTTTTATAGGAGAATATTGGCAAATTTTGTTATATTCTCCTCAGTTCCACTTTTTTATCTTGTTTTCTGTCAGCGAATCTGCTGTTGATTCCTGCGACTGGGTGTGCTTCTCTTTTTTTTTCTTAATCCCGCGTTATTTATTTTTCCTCATCTCCCGTGATGATAGGGACAGAGAAGGAGAGACTGGGGTGGAAGTGGGATGACGCTCGACGCGGTGCCGACGTCGCAGTCGGTGTCAATCCTCCCTGATGTCGACAGTGTCGCGTGGTTGCCAATAATGGTGTCGAACGGTGGCGCCTCGAACCTCAATAATAACTCGTATGATCTGAATGCAACGACGACATCGGCCGAATCGTCTCTGACGTCCGTCATGTGGGACTCTGTGGTTGCTGCTGTGGTTGGAGGAGGAGGAGAAGCTCATGATGCGGGAGATGAGAGTACCTGGGAACCCTGGGTTTTTAGCCCGTGGGTTTTGGCGATGTTGGCGTCGGCGGCAGTGGGATGCGCTGGGATTGTGCCCGCCTTGTTCATTCCGGCGTCCCGCTGCGGCGGCGGTGGAGGAGCGGCCAAGACGGAGGAAGGTTAGTTATTTTTCCTTTTGTTTCAGTTTTTTGCGGGTTTTTTGATGAGGATGTGTTGCTTTTCGCGTTCCTTTTTTTTTTTTTGGTTTTGGATATTTGATTTTTTTTTCATTTTGTTCCGATTTATTTTAATTTTTTTAATTTTATTATAGCCTTTGGTTTATAGATTTTCAAGATCTTTTTATGTAAGCAGAAAGAAATGCGTCAAATTGGGGCGACGTGAATATCGATTGAGTAATTTTGTGACTTTAAAAGTTATTTTTTGTTAAAATAAAATAAAAATTGGCAATTTTTTTTTTCTGATGAGTCCCAAATTCTACAACGATATTTTTTTCAGGATCTTAATTAGCAGAAAATTTATAGTTTCCCCCAAGTCATTTCCAATAAATGTTTGAAATTACTGTACTTTTAACAAAAGAAAGCGAATTTTGAAGTTTATTTTTTAGAATGTTCTGTTCATTTTGTGTCGGATTTTCTTGCTTATGAAGATTTCTTCTAAGCAACATTATTTGATATGAGAGATTTTTGTAAGTGTTTTTCATGATTTTAATGCAATTGCGCTGAAATAGAATGTGGAAAACAAGAGGAGTAAGAATTACAGGATTATCCTGTACCAATGAATCCTGTTACAGTGGTTCCTAAGCTAGCAAACACAATTGGTTACAGCTCTGAAGTTTTTTGTGCAAAATGTTTCCAAGTCAGGTCAGGTTTTCCTTCTAGAATTAATGTAAAACCCATTAATTGCTTTCTGAAAGTAAAATCTAACAGAAAAATTTGCCTGCATTTTTAAGAAACAATGAACAAATTCCTGAAAACATTGTGGTCATTCAAAATCAAATGTTCTTTCTCATTTAATTACCTTGCTCTCATATATAAATGGACCCATACCAAAACTGGTTGTAATTGATGCATAAGTGACATCTAAAAGCAAAGTAGTGAAATTACTGCTGCTTATGATCTTGAAATCATTAGCTGCTTATGATCTTAATTAGCAGAAAATTATCTTTGTGGATGCTAGAGTTTGAATAGGGTAAAATTTAATGATGAATCACATTTTGCAAATTATGTTGCTTTTAGTGAACAGTCAACTTCAGATGACCATTTTGGACTCAAAAATGTATTTTCTCTTTCTGGAAGCAATATTCACAACATTTTGCACCACATGGACTTTTTTAAATTTTTGGAGATTAAATTCCAATTTTCTGTAGGTTTTTGGCTACTGTATCACACCGACACAAAACTAAGTAAGTTGATGTAATTTGTAAGGAAGACTCCCAGGGCAAACCCTTCAAACCTAGCTTAGCATCCCTTCAACTCATTCAAGAATCAATTCAAGGCCTAGAATATCGCGAAGAATAATCTTCTGTACTTTTTGTCTGTCCCCCAACACAAATATGCTCATTTCCCTAACTATTAAATTATTTTTGCTGGTCTTGATGGAAGAAGGAATTTAGCCAAACAAAAAGTTCACATTGCTTTGGCAGTAGGGTTATGAGCAATCCCAGAAATTGCGATTATTTTCTGCTTTAGCCTTTTTCTATACCTCAGTTGATCTGATAATTGGGCTTCTGGAAATTGTTAGTCTCAAACATTTGATTTATTACGTATGCATTTGTGTACAATAATTCTTCTTGATTAGTTAAATTGATGACTGTTGATCGAAATGTGTCAATAATCATGATAATAATGTGTCATCTAGTCCCTTGAGCAGTTGCTTAGTTGGCTTCCTTTACAGTTGTTTAAGCCGGTTCCTTCTTGTTAACAAGGGAGTTTAGCCAGAAGCTGTCAGGAATGTAGGTGTGTGTGACTTGCTTTGTTAACTTTAACACGTATGTGGTTGGCGTTTGTTTTCTTTAGCCAAGACCTTGATGTCACTGAAGCTTGTAGTACTCTTGTCATAGAGGCTGGGCCGGGTTCTCCGGAAGTTGAAACTCCTGAGGGGTTTTATTCAAAGAAAAGGTTAATACTGTAGTAAACAATTGTTTAATTTCAGAAATTCTTTCAATTCGAATTGATGATGAACAATGTGTGTTCAACTTCCAGTAATTTTTATTTTTAAAATATTTGCAAAATAATTTTCGGATTACAAAACTGTATATTTTTAATTTTTTGAACATGGGCAGATTAAATCATGGTAAGATTAAAAATGGCTGAAAGCACTCATTTAGCACTGTGCTAAAAATTTCAATATTCCGTTTAATTGAATGAAAAAAATTACACTGTAGATTAGTTTTATGTGGTGATGTTTTTTCTTATAGTATCCCTTTTTTCTACGTACAGTATCATGTAGAAATATGAAATCATGTAAAACTGATCAGGTGTTTAATAAAGCGACACATGATAAATTTTCAAAAATAGTTTTTGCGCGAACAATTTATTCATGGCCAAAGATTTTTTATACATTTTTTCGATTTTAAATCCTTTGTAAAGAGATATTATTATACGTAATGTTTATTACTGTAACTCATTTTGACGTACCCTCCTCATTTTCAGCATTATACCGTATTTTATTTAATTTATTATACTGTATATAAATTTGTCACAGCCTTTTTTAGTATTTGATTTTCTAAAAGATTATTTGTTCAACTTTATCATGAAGGGCTGAAATGTGACCCCAGAAGTATACAGTTGTCAAATGTCTTCTGATACTGCTAATCACTTGTTAGACTCTGCCTTCCAAAGTTATAAGAATGATGTACTGGAACTTGTTGCATACACGTGTCCTAATAACCTTGGATAAACACAATCGGAGTTTTGAGAGACAACTGACGTTCACTGTGTTGCGTGTGTTGATGGATTCATTCGCAGGCTGTGTGTAATTGGGGCATGCGTTTTGTGTTACTGCTTTACGGTTCATCGTTTTTTCATTGCTCGTTTCTTCTTTTTTCCAGGTGGACGGAAATTGAGACGCTTGCTGAGTTTTTCAGTTGGTGGATTGCTGGGGGACGTTTTTCTTCATTTGCTGCCTGAAGCTTGGGATTACCAGAAAACAAGATCTGGTACGTTATACATTCCTTTTTACATGATTGTTTCAAATTTACAAATCGTTTTGAGAAGAAAATATTTTCAGCACTGTACTGCCCCCCCCCTTAAAATATCAAATGCACGAAAAAGCAGCGAATTTGATTTTTAGTTTCATCAATGAAATATGAATATCTTTAATTGAATATTGAGATACTTTTAATTAATTTATTCATTCAATACTTAGTAATAGAATGTAATTGGTAATAATTAATACAGTACTTGATAATTTAATATTTTATTTTGATAAAATATTTTATAATTGACATTTTCCTTGGTGAAATTCATCTTTTCTTTTTAACATTTCATTAATGATATTTATTTGCTTTCGCAACATCCTTCTAAAATTCGAAGTGGAACATTATTAACATTGTCTTTCATTTTTAAATATTCTCTTGTGATTTTTGATATTCGATTTTCACACAAATGTTCATTCTATATGTTGATTATTTTCAGGTAGTGCAAGGGAGTTGATGCAAGCTCAAGTTACTATTGGATTCTGGGTGCTTATTGGGATGCTCTCCTTCCTTTTGATTGAGAAAATCATTGCTGAGACTGAGCTTTTGCGGGAGGATGACAGTGGGAAAGGTCATAACGGAAAGAAGCCAAGGTCGAAAGCAGTTAGTTGAAGATTTCAGTGTCTTCAGCTGGAATTTTATCTCATTTTCGTCGTATTCCTCATCCCCAGATAATTGGTTACTTGAACTTGGCTGCGAATGCGATCGATAATTTCTCGCACGGACTCGCCGTTGGAGGAGGTTTCCTGTGTAGCAGACGAAGTGGTTTGCTGACAACCCTGGCGATCCTGATTCACGAGGTGCCTCATGAAGTGAGTTTTCAGCTATAATTGTGAAAGATTGTCACTGAATCACTACAAAATATTTTTTCGTTGCAGATATCAGATTTCGCCATTTTGCTCAATGCTGGCTTCACGAGATGGCAAGCTGCAAAGGCTCAATTCGCAACTGCTTTGATTGGACTTTCTGGGTCGATGGCAGCTCTGCTCGCAGAAGCTTCTCACTCCAAGCTTGGTATGTTGTGTGTATGTGGAAGTGATGTGAGCATGAGAGAAAAAATTCAAAAACACCCACAACCAAAAGAGAAGTTCAGCGCTGCATGCTTTTGCATGCCACGGCGATGATCTTCGGATCATCTGAGCGCTGAACTTTTTTTTTGGTTGTGGGTGGAATGATTATTATTATTACGATTTATTAATTTTCTAAAATTCTCGAATAATAATTTAGTAATAATAAGTTTATTTTTTTATATTAATAAATTCATATTAATAATTTTACTGATATTATATTAATAATTGATGAATTTTGAATTTGTTTTACGTTGTATTTATTATTTCGTTTATCCTGTTTTCAAATGATTCGCAGGTGATAGAACGTGGTGGATTTTACCGTTTACCGCTGGTGGCTTCTTAACAGTCTCACTAGTCAATGTACTTCCAGAAATCATGGGAAATGATGACATGGACGAAGTTAGTACTTCCAAATCTCAATGCGAAGTGTGCAGTTCTGAAGATTCCAAGCACAAGCTACGGATGTCTCAATTTACGGGATCTTTAGTGGAAAGTTGCGCCTTATTGGCGGGAATTGCTATTATGGGTGGCTTAGCCAACATAATATCTGACTGACCAGCGTAGGAAGGAATGATTTGAATGTTCGCTGGGGCTGTGTTACCTAAACTTGCATTTTTTGTTTTGGTAAGCATTACACTACGACACCCACTTGTCACCTTTTATTTTTTTTAGCTTGTTCTGTGATTGAATTGAAGAGACGAAAGAGAATCTGCGGGAAATAGACTCACGTATTTTTGCGTCAAATTCGGCATTATTTCATTACTTTATATACTACCGATATTGATGCATCCAGTAGAATAATTTTGTTATAATAAGCAGTATTGTATTAATTTTTACATTAGAATAATTTCGTTTTTTTATCAATACTGTATTAATTTTTCCATTACAATATTTTAGTTATAATAAGCAATACTGTATTAATTTTTCCATTCGAATATTGTCATTATAATAAGCACTATTAATTTTTCCATTAGAATATTTTAGTTATAAGCAATACTGTATTAATTTTTCCAGTAGAATATTGCATTTATTATTTTTCAAGTAATATTTACAACATACATCATCCATGAATATTGTCATTACTGTATTCTAAACGATATTACAGTTCACTATTATTAAATTATTTTTATATGTGCTAAAATCCTAGACAATTAACACACCTCATCGAGTGAAATGACAACCGGAAGTGGATCCATTTCCACGTCAACCAACTTGGACCACTCAATGAATTGGGAGCCAACTAAAGGCGCCATGAACAACTCCACTCCATTCACCAGACGCACGTCCGCAGTTCGGTTCATATCACAGAGCAAAACTTAAGCCTCCTCCTGCAAGAAACGATATTCAATTTGTTGCTGTTGATTTGTTCAATAGCGGACCAAAAAAAAAACTCACCGTCATTCCGACGAAGGTACAATCTCGGCTTAGATAGCTTAAGATTGAAAACGCTGCCTTTTGGCAGAAGTGATGGCAGCTTCTGGCAACGGAACTAGATGGGGGAAAAAAGAAAACTTGAATGCTCAATTCTCTCAGTCATGGGTGTCTCGGTTAATAAGTTTCATCAGTAAGGAATCCTTCATTGGAAAAATGGATAATGAAGAAATTAATAGTTTTAAATACAGTATTGTAATGGCTGATGGATTGTGCAGTAAGAACCCTCAACAAGGCTCATCAGGACATCTTTCATCCCAAACAAAATTTCATGGTGGAAGCCCAAATTCTCACAGCAACTTCAAATTTCTGAGAACAATAATGATAAATTAAGTGACTAATAATGTTAGTCGCGGAATATTGCGTAACTTTAACAATACTTTCAAGAAATAAGTCTGTTCCCTGGTGCCTCAACAAGTACTCCCTTATTCAAAAATGCACACGAATGCTTCTGTAATTTTTCCAAATGAAAATTATCCCTGAAAATATGCTCAGTTGCTTTCAGCGGCTTCTGCACAGGGACATTATTGAAAGCCGTGAAAAGAACAGATACCTTGATGCTTACAAAATGTTCAAAGACACGAGAAAGAAGACTTTATCTTACCAGAACACGTTCAATATCACCACTGGCACCAGGAATACACACAGAGTCTGAGGCATCAGTTGAATCCTTTTTTTATTGCTTCACTATTTTCTTCTGCGTCTGCACTTGATTCATTTCTAATTGTCAACTTCCCATTCCAAGAGACAACAACGTCAAAATAATTCTGCGTTTTTGTCAAGTGAATAAGCTTAAAACTGAATCATATTATATTCTCAGGTGCAAAAGAAAAACGCAGCTTTTCGATTTGGTTAAAAATTCAGCGAAACAATGTTATATGAGCTAAATTGAAAGTCTGGAGAGCTGACTAGTAAGACTGTCTGTGGGGCTTTTGCTAAACCTTGAAAACATAGCACATCAATCCTTGTGATACTTTCCTAAAAGAAAACTTATAAGATTTTTCAAGTAAATTTCCAATGTTCCATTATGTTTTTTGGGTCAACATGGAAACCTCAACATGACTTCTGTACTACTGGGCTATCCAATGAAAAAATCAATCAATTCATTTAATCATCAAGTATTTTTCCTTCACTTAATGGTTTTCTTGCTTCAATAATTTCATCTGTACAGTGGGGTACATTATTAGCTAACGAACACCCTTCCCAGTCAACAAGTACGTTTGTACAATAATGTTTCTGCAGTGGGTTACAAAGCGGGATCCACACAATAAAGGTTTTTAAAATTTTTGGGAGCACAAATTTGAATTTGTCCAAAGAAGGGAATGGAATCGTTCAAATGCAACTTAGGAAAATTCCAGAGAATAAACATTAAGCAAAAAAGTGTTTTTGTCAGTCAAGTATCTTCACATCTATTCATCTGCACTTTATTCGGCAATGTTGCTTCTTCGGTCAAATTTAAAAAATACAATACTAATGATTTATTGATTTAAAAATCGTTGACAGGTCTGAACTTTTCAACTTCAACAATTTTTTCTACGCACAATATCACGGATGAAAATATTTTGGCCTCAATTTTTTAAATTTATGGATATTTCGTGTCAAAGATGCATTAGAAAATCAGTCAAAAATATTCTGGACCACTGTTCTACGAAGTGATTTGTAAAATTTCCAAATGATTCATCACACTTCCTTTTGATCAGCTAGCATGGATGTTCTCAAGTTACGATCAGCACAATTATTCATCCTCATATGAAATGAATCAAAATAATAATAAAGAAAATAATGTCGAAGAGTTTATTTTATTCCCCGTACACTTTGAAAATCAATGCTGATGTCGAGCCAACGCTTGTATGCAACACCCACCTTCTGGAGAGCTGATTCCCAAAGAAGAGCCGTCACTGCTCAGACTCGCACCAGACTGCATCTTTTTACGACCCCTCTTCTTGGGTTTCGCTTCATCACCATCCTCACGGCCCGCAGCTTGTTGATTCTTCCCCTCCAAACTCGCCAACAGGGCCTTTTTCCTCGCTCTCTGTTTCCGCTTCTGTTCCCTCTGCCGACGTCTTCGTTCAATGTCCTCCAACTGGGCCATGAGTCGACGTCTCCGCGCGGAATTCTCCGAGACGATCTTCGGGAAGCTGACCATGATCGGTTCGACTAGTTCTGTCTCGACAACGGATTCCGGCGTCAGGTCCGAGTCGAAAAGATCCAAAGAAGTGAAGTCTGCGATTGGAGCTGATTCTCCCGCAGACCCGACGACTTTCCCGGTCGCAGCTAGAATACTCGTCAGCCCTGGAAATTTGAAACAAAACTTCAGGGAAAATAATTTACAAATTATTATACAAAACGAATTGCTTTTCGAAGCCTCTCCAGTATACGATGCTATTTTAGGCTCACTATAAAGAATTTTACAACATAACAAAGGTTTTTCCAGGACCACAGGACTCCCTTGTCATGAAATTTTAATGTATACAAAGATGAAAAATTATTTTTTGACATCCCTCAAGTCAAACCGAGATGTCATTTGAGACTCAATTCTACAAATTTTTCGTTACAACGAACGTTTTTCCAAGGCCCCATGGCTTCTTTGTAACGATACCTTACTGTAAATATATTCAAGGATGACAAATTCATTTTTGACGTACATCCAGTTCCATACATGGCACTTCAATAAAAAATAAAGTGAACAGTGCTACGAAATATTCGATATTGAACAACATTTTCTCGCTTTCAAATAGAAGATGTTTGCAGAAAACCATAAATAAGATACGACAAGAGAAAGTACAGAAAAAAAATATTCGAAGTAAATTACTGTAAATTGCATTTTTACTCGAGCGAACTTTCGTCATCATGATTCCTGTGAAAAAATAAAAAATACCAACCTCCTACAGCTTGAGATATCGGGACATTCTTATTTTCCAAGGCGTTCATCACGGTACTTCTGCTGAAGCTGGCAGGGATTATGGCCCCAGAGATTCTTTCTGGCGGTTTCAGATCCTCATCCAGGGATGTTAATGAGATTGAATCAGTAAAATCGTCAACCTGCCGAAGAAAAAGTGAACATTCGTCTTCAGGCATTTCGCTACAATGAATATTTCAATATACAGTATACTGTATTTCAAACGCATCTTTCAATCTGTTTTTGTGCGCCTTAAAGAATTTGAAATCAGAGAAGAATGCTTGGGAACTGCAGTGAAAAATTGGAGCATCAAAATTCTGCAAAAAACCAATATTGTAGCATCGATTTTCTGATGCACAGAACTTGCATTTTTATTCATCAGAACCATCAGATTCAAAATGCAAAATTAATTTCAATCATGGTCTACTTTTCGAGTTGATATTTACAGTAATAAAAGAAATCTCTGTAAAAGTGCTATGCGAGTAAAAAAACCTTATTTTGAAATTTTTTAAACTCCATTGGATCTGCAGTTACCCCCCGCACAACGGACCTCCCGAATGGACTTTGGCAGAACAAACAACCTCTGGAGGCAGTTTTCCCTCCCGTGCAATGGACTAAATTCACATAAAAGACTTTTTTTGGTTTAAAATCAATGGTAAGGATAAATTTGTACTTTACTGTGATTGAATTTTCATACCAGACTTGTTACTTTCAAATTAAGCCTGTTGTGCGGGGGTTCACTGTACTGTACTTCAAAAAGTCTCTAAACTTATGAAACAACCCTCGTATTTCAAGCAATTCCGGTTTGATAAAATAAAGATCGGAAAATGAAAATAAATTCCAGTGATCAACCACAAGGGCTTGAGTGAAACGCCACTAAAAGAGGCACTTTCAAATTGAGTAAAAAAACATTTCCAAGACTGAACATCCCTTAAAGGAAGACAATGAACCCTTCCATCAACTCACCAAGTCAATATCTGATGAGGTTTCTCGTTCCTGCGACAAAAAAGGTAGTTCTGATGCAGTCAAAACACGGTTCATGACTCGACTCGACTTCGTTTCTTCCAAAACTGACAATGAATCTACGCCCACAGCCGCCAACTGTATCACAAATTTAAAAAAAAAATGCAAAACATCTAAAACACAACCTCTCAAAAATGGTCAAAACTTACTTCGCCATTTCCGCGTCCAACTGGTGCCTTGAAAGACTTCGCTGTGATGATTTTCACTTTAGAATTCGGATTTGTCATCAAAGCCATGGCACGCTAAAAAAAACAAACAAAACATATATTTCACAAACGTTCAGTTCACTTTTCCCACCCAAAACGCACATGTACAGCAGCCTGGTTCCCTCCTAAAGTTACTCCGGCAGTAGTTGGCACACCAGAAGAAATCTGACTAGAATTTGCAGTACTCGTATCCTTTTGAGTGCTCGATAATGCTTCTTGCAGACGCTCAATCTGAGATTCAACACAAAAAACAGTTTTCATTTCAGAAATTTCAGGATTACGAAGAAGAGAATTTAATTACCGCAATGGTTGCTTTTCTCAATTTCTCCTTCGCTATGTCCAATCTCCTCTCCAAATCGTCTCCGTATTGCAGTTCGCTGATGACAGGTAGTTGATTGATGCTATTCGCCAAGGCCTCAAACACAACTTGCTCCAACTGAAAAAAATATAAAAAATTTTCAAATATAAATAGCTTCAATGACACGAATGAAAATACCGTATGCCAATTATAAGTGTGACCTAACGTCCTAGAGTTCCTCGACAAACGAGGTTTTCCTTCTTCAAACGGGTGTCTTATGAATATTTCATTCAAAATAAATTTCCCAACCCAGGAAAAAAGTTTCGAGTTGATATTATTTAATATAAAAATGCGTGGAAAATGTTTCAAGATAGTGTTTCTCAATCAATAGCTGCATCCTGAAATTTCGAATGATGCCAAGGAATTTTGATATCGTATTTACGCAAATATAAGCACCCCTTCAATTTTTCATGTCTAAAATTGAAATGTAATTACTGTAATCGGCGAATATAATCAACCACTTCTTCTCTTGGTTTTCTGAATTTCCAGAATTTTAAAACTGACTAAAATTAGGTTTTCTCCAAAAGGAAAAACAGCATCACACAACCCTTTTGATTTTTCCCTTGCATTCATCTTGAAGTGTTAAAAACTTATCATTCCTTGATTATTTTCAACTTACATTCCAAAATAACTGAGAAAAAATATAGCTTGATTGTTACGTGGGCCGAGAACAGGAACATTTCCTGATACAGACGCATATTTACGCAAATTGCATGAACATGCGAATACCCCGTCTAACGTACTTAATTTGTGCTACGGATAAGTATGTAAGAAAAATTCGCATGTTAGATTTTCAACACATGAACACATGTTAGATTCATTTGTTAGTACGTTTAACAAATTTGGTGTGTTGGACAGGGGTTTACTGCATTATCAACCCCCTAGTTTTGAAGTTTCTAAAATTGAAAAAAATGGGTGCTTATTCGTATGGGTATTTACTTATTTATTCATTATGGGTATTTATTCTTGGGTATGGGTATGTATATCCATTCGCGTAAATGGATATTTCATTTCAAAAAGAGAGCTTCTTGCTGATCAAACGTGGCTTTCCTGAAGATTTCAAGGTGGGAAAGAATTATCTTTTTCTGTCATGCAATGCATCTCACGAAATAAGTCAATGAAAAATTAGATTTGATGCAAAAACAATTATTCTTGGCAAATTTTCTTGAAAAAAGTATTAACTTGATGCAATATAATCCACGAGCCGAAAACCGTATTTATCAATTATATCAAGAAAATTACACAAACGAAGATTTACTGATACAGACACATATTTACGCGAATTTCATAATTATGCGAATATGGGCACCACTCAAGTTTCTGAGCCGTAAGATATGAAAAAGGGGTGCTTGTATATACAGTACTACCGTAATTACCGATTTAGAAACTGACCTCATCTCGATTGACAAACGCTGGCTCATCCGTCCTGATTTTCTCAATTTCAGGGTAACCTGCTTCAATATGAGGCTTCTTCCTCGAATAAGGAACAAACCCAGCAGCATGAAGCTTGGACGCAAATTCAGGATGCGATTGATCGGCCAGATGAGAATTCTTCGAATTCCTCTTCCGAGAATACGTTAGAATCGGGGGTCTCATTTCAACAGTTCCCAGGTGTGCATCGACGACAGGTGGAACGGATAGGCGCACGACTTTGGTGCCAATAACAGTGGGGTTCTGGTCACTTCGCAATTCGAGAGGATCCCTTTCGGGTACTTCTTCAATCTTGACTTGTAGTAAGGTGGAAAAATTGATGAGGTCCGTGGATTTTTCGGACCTGCTCGAGTCCAGGTTTGAAGTTGGCACGCCATTCAGAAAATCCGGCTGGGAATCGTCGCTTTCTTCTTCCGTTTTTATTACGACACCGTCCATTTCTGGATGCTTTCCCGGGTTATTTTACAACTTCCGAGTTGCTCTCAAATTACTAAATCACACTGGTATCACACTATCACCGCAATTGAAAACATCCATTCCTTGACAGAATACGGGCGGAAAACTGAGCTGGAGATTTCAACATAATTACACGGTCTTCTCAGTTCCTGAGCTTGCTTAAAATTACGTATTAATGAAAAAAAATTAGCATAAAATTAACTCGAAGCCTGTCTATTGTACTTCCTGGAATGCAGTCTTATTCTGGTAAAAAAAAAATGCAACCATAAGCAGAAATCGCACATCAAAATCTTTCCCGAACATCACAACGAATTTAGACTTCAAAAAATGATACGAAATCACTGATTGATCTCTTTTTGATCGAAATCGCAGCCGAAATTTTCCGAGACAACGAATGCACTTCCGTGTTTCTTCTTTTGAATAAAAGTTTCCTTAAAAATTCAATTTTTTTCACTGACATCTCTTAAAGGGTATTCCGACGATTCTACCGAACATCGCGAGGATTTCCTGAAAAAGAGCAAGACAATCGACATAAATATTTGCTGAAAAAAAAATAACACAAATGGAGGTCTGAATTGCATGGAATCATACGAGTGATACGTAACCAACTTCTTTTGAATAATGTTTAAGCTCACATCTCTCAAGTGAATACATTGCTTTGAAAGGCTACTCAAATTCAGCAGTTTTCCACATTCCATTACATTCCATTTTCAACACTGGTGGGCTTCTGCGAAAAGCTGTACTTTCAAAACAGTTTTCATCAGTTTTGTGATTATCCTCAAGGATTTTAATTCAAGAAAATTTATTTAAATGACAAGTAGCTGTTCGGAAAACTGAAAAATACAGGAATTATTAGCAAAAATCTTCAGAAGTGCATAATACCATTCATGAAGTTTTTCTTTTCTTATCGCAGAACATGTGTTGAGCATCACTCCCATGATTTCCTAGAAACTTTTAGTCCTTCACAAGCAAAAACGAAATGCGGAGCAATACAAACGTTTTCATGCCACAAACACAATGTAAAAACAGAATTAAAAATAAAAAACCGAGGACAGCATTATCGCAGAATATGATTACAGACACCACCAACGCGAGAAAAAAAAAATGTTCCGAAAATTTTTTTTACATACTGATATTGTTTGCAAATGCGAAGACTTGACGAAATATTGCAGATTTTTTCAAGGAATTCCACTCGAACGACTTCACGGAGGTTTTGAGAGATTCACTTCTTTTGCAAGATGCAAAACATTACACCCATTTGAAAGCAAATTTTTGGCGTAAAAAAAAATCAGGAGTGGAATTCCTTGACGCAGAGTTCGCAGCTCCAGCTGCCATCTGGCGGTGCTTCCAAAGGTGGCCTCAAACAGTACATGTGGTAGCCTCTATCGCAATCGTCGCAGAACAACAATTGATCCTATAAAACAAAAACACAAAATGAATCATCCATTCAACTGATATCCCCTCTTCAATGAACGGAATTCTCTGAAGAACTCCATTCGTCATAGATCAAACTCACATCATTATCAGATGTTCCACAAGTGGTGCAACACTTGCATTCAATGCACTGCCAACGGTATTTCTTCACTGAGATGATCATGTTGGCCGTGAACTGCAAGCATGTTGGGTGCCCTGAAAAATAATCAATTCAGTCAATAAAACGTTTGCACAAATGCAAAAAAGTGTCTATTCCTACGTGGCGAATATTCGGAACACTGCCACCGCATTTAAACTACACGAAGAACTTGATCTCTCAACAAAATACAAAAAATTCTAGATTTCAAGAACTCCCAATTGATAAATACAGCAAGTTTTTATTCCAAAGAATAATTTAATTAGCTTCGCAAAAACTGACCCTTTACTATACGACATAGAACTTCGATCAGTGAACCCCTGACAGAACATCACGAATTAAAGATTTCATCCTCGAGTGAATATGAAAATCAAAATGGACGGATGCATCTCAAGAATTTGTTCGCATTGCAGATAGATGTCGCCTGAATTTTCAACCCGATCAAAAATTACCTTTTCGAATCAAAATAATTTCAACAGAACTTTGACAAAATGTTGAGTTACGTACCCCAATTCGCCTCAACATAGGACGCCATCTTTTAAATTGTGACGACATACTTGGAATTATTTTTTCAACACAGACTGATGACAGGCGAAAACGCAAAAAGACAGAAGAGCATGCCCGATTCGATAAAAAAAATAAGACACTCAAAATCACGATAACTCACCAGATCTTCCGCAATCGCTACAAGACACCATTTCCTCGCTCTTGGAAGTTTTCTTGTTGAGTTCAGCATCTCCGAGACAGAAATCGCAGTAAGCTGAAGGTGCCATACGACCGTCACCACCCCTCGACGTCGTTTCTCCAGTATTCATTGGGGAATTGTATTCCATGCTGTCAGCCCCAGTTGAATTTTCGCTTTGAACATCTTGCACAGGAATGGCGGGTACGACAGGCGCTGCAGCAGCAGCAGCATTTTTCTTCAATCTTCCACTCGGTCCTGGAGAAATGATTCAGTTCATTCATGATTACAGAACACATCGAATACATTTCACACGCTACAATATAATATTGTAAATGAAGCGGCAGTGACCCAAATTTCAAGTCGTGTGATCAACGAACAAATATTTAGACTCTCCCAATCGGTCCAAAAGAAAAAATTTGAAATCGACGACAGTACAGTACATTTAATGAACTTCGCAGATGGATTTCCCAAGACAACAACTTTAAAAAGAAAATTGAGTAAAATTCTCCTCACAAAATTGGAATTCAGATGTTTTTGAACGTGCAATCTTGCATTCAGTCCTGGAGAAACCGCTCGGTTATACATGAGGAACTTATCAAATAAACGAGGACTTGAATGTGATTTTCTTGAATACAATTCTGCTCTTCCAGGGAATAACAAGTGCGAATCACACAAAAAATTAAACCTAAGATCATGTGAGTAGTTATTCTTCGGCCTGTGAAAATTCCAGACTGTTCGTGCAGACTAAATTCAGCATAAATACGTTTATTGAAGAAAAAACAGTCCACGAGGTTGTAACAGATCTTCAACATTAATACAATTTTCATGCAATAAACAAAACGTCAAACATTATGCAAAAGACACTCACTTTTTTGGGTGACAGGCTTTTCACCATCAGCTTCATGATTTTCATCAGCACCTTTCTTACGTCCGCGGCTAGTCTGCAGAAAGAAGAACAAAATGATGAAATCTCTCAATGTAAAATTTGAATTTGCAACGCATAACGTACGAATAATTCAGTTGGTAATTCAAAGGTAATTTTAAAAAGTCCTGATCCTCAGGTATCTGAGACTAAGATCCAAAAAGAACATTGAACTCGGAATCACTGTAAATGCATAAACTGACTTTGGGGGTAGATTCTTTGGCACGTGATTTCTTCTTTTTCTTCTTGGAGGATTCCTCGTAATCAAAATCAGAATCAAAATCTTGAACGTGGTAGAAATCATCCTCGTCCAAACCGAGCTCATCCTCATAATATGCCCACGAAGCTTCAGGTTGCTGGAAGATGAAAGAACAACACACGAGTCATTTCTACACATGGAAAATGCTGATTTAAAAAATTGAGATTTCGGTTATCTTAACTCACAGCAATTTTTGCTGAGTCATCGCGAAAGAGTTCTCGATTTTCCTCCTTCTGCTCCACATTGAAAACGTTGGACTGCGACAATGTTGACTCCACTGCAAATAAATGCATCAATTTCAATAGCAGCAAATCGTAAGAAAGAATGGGGAGATATACAAAACAAATCTCTCAAAAATCGAAGTTATCTCAGGGAACCCATCAGTTCCCATAATCGTGAGAAATCGAACAATTTAATCAACGATGAGTCTCTTTACAGCGTGTCTCTTTAAGTCAACGGCAGCTCAAGTTTCACACAATTTTCGTACAGTACATAAAATGCTCCAAATTGTGCAAACTTCATAAAAAAGTTACCACATTAACAAATAGAACACCTTTCGAGAACAAATTGTAAGCAAGGTTCGTATAGAGAACAGTATCAAAATTGCTTTTCACACTACGGTAGCAAATTTGGGCAAAACTTGATGGGAAAAATCAAGTGATGAATTAACACTACGGCTTTGTAAACGAATCTTCACCTGACTCCAGCAAACTTTCTGGCACATCCGCTTTGACGACTTTACGCGGAAAATTGTAGAAATTCAGATGATACTGCCTTTTTCTTTTCCGCCACTTGGCAGCAGGATAAACGTACAGTTTTCCAAGTGATGCATCACCAGGCATTCGATCTCGACGGTTGAACATCAACATCGAACTATTCTGCGCAATTCCTGTAAAGCGCAGGAGAACGCAAAATTTTCGGATCAAATTTTAAAAAGTTTGCGAGCGAAGCTTACCTGTTTGCGCGTCCAGGAAGGGCAATCGCATCCTTCGTTCCATCAAGAGTCGTGTATTGAAAGATGACGCATTTTCCAACATTTCTTTGTACGCATTGTCAGACAGAAAACTGAAAAACAAAATAACAATCAGACAAATGCGTGTATCCATGATTCCAACGTCAGATAAGCGCAATTCAACGAACAGAAGGAACAACGTCCGATTAATAAACCACTTTTCAAAGAGACGATTTACAAAAATTAAACGTACCTCTCCACAGACTCGAAGGAAAACGGTTTGACCCGTTTGGAACCAATCGATTCATCGCCGTTCGCCTCAGGCATCGCGATCACTAAGTTCTCATAGTACCATCTGGAGAAAAAGAAGGTGCATATAAAATAAGATTATGAATCCACTTCACTAATTATCGGTGATACAGCGGAAGCTTCATATTTTCACTCAGACGAGCATCTAATCTAAAAATGATTTCGCTCACTTTCTCTGACACATCATAATGTTCGACTGAACCAAGCAAGATTTTAAAAATTAATTAAACGGCATCTTCGAACGTGAACTTAGATATACGTGTCATCAACACTTACGATCAGTTAAGCCGGAAAATATCGTCAAAAGCATTTCAAGACGGCCGCTCAGTCACTTGTAGGGTAATAGAACTAGAGATACGTCTTCCTTGTCTGGATGTTCATAAGAAACAAATCATTGCCAAAAAATCCCACGTAAAATGCGCTAGAAACAGGATCACGCGGAGTTTTCTGAATAAGGAGGATCGAAAAGCAAAGACCGCTTACACTTATTCGAGAAACTATTCTTATCACAGGCAGGGGTAAGAGGAATCTCTCGAATCGAATCAACAATTTAGAAAAATACGTCAATAATTTACATCAAACTTCGGAGAAGTAACGGGCAACGAAAACTTGATTGGCCGAAATGAAGAACAGGTTGTGATAACGTGTTAGGCAAAAACTCGCCTACTGATATCATTGCGGCATTCAACCAAGTGTACGGCGGGGTGAAACTGGACAACGAATGATCTATTCAAAGTGGAGCTTAATAGATGTCGCTTCCTTTCACGCCACGTCTCCTAATAGAATTTTCTGATACAGTTTCTGTAATGCCATCTCGAAAATTTAGCTACCGAGTCCAACATCCAAGTATCATTTGATAAGACTGTTTTAGTTCGGGAAAGTAGTCTGAGCCCATGCTACAATTTAGAATGTTCCTGGGCTCTCGCATTCCAAAATGTTGAATGCCCGAACTCATAGCCAATAGAACGTTTATGGGTTTTGGCATTCTAAACTTTGGTAACTGGAAAACATGAACCCCTCCCAGGAAGAAAAGGTTTCCATTTAAAGAATTATACATTATACTGAACCAAAAACTTGATGAGGCACCCAGGATAATGTCCGCCATTCTCAAGATGCAGTTCCCGGACGCGACTGAAAAACTAAACAAAACAAAAAGCTTGACAAATGAAGACAAGTCGCATAACATTACATCGGTTTTATTTAACCAGCATCTTCAGTCGGCTTCATCATCAAATTATATCCTCCAAATTCTTTGACGCTCAGGATATATTTACAACATATTAGATTTTCGAAGAATCCACTTGAGATCTTCAAAGAATTGTTGCGCTTCCAGTACCAATAACATATTACAAAGCCAAAAAAAAAAACAATAAAAAAATTGCCGGATAAAATAAAAAAACCCCCTCTCACTACGCGGTGTAACAAAACTGAACCTAAACTGATTAAAAAAAAGTAAGCGTATCACAATATCTGGACTTGAACAGGTTGTGAGTGGGAGCACACAATGTTGGAAAAAGCACTATGCTCTCTATCAGGTCCCCTTCGCTTCAAAGCCCTGACTGCAAAGCAGTAAATTTCTTTTCCGTCATGCTGAAAATACAAAAGCGAAAAGTCCTCATTTAATCATTTCATTACAGTTAACAATGAAAAACATACCTCTGATAATGAGATGACGATGGGAAATGGCCTGACATTGATTTCGTCTAATTTTGACCACGCTGAGAATTCCGTACCAACAGCATGGGCAACAAATACTTCTAAAGACGTGATCTGCCGAACTTCAGCTGTACGATCCACATCGCAGGTTAGTGTAAGTCGCCCTTCTGTGAGAAAAAAAAGGGAATAAATTCATACACTGAATTCCCATATCCACACCCAAACCTTTCAAAACTTTTCTCGTGAAACCTCTATAATTCAAATTCTTGGAGGCATCTGGATAAATACTTGAGGGACCCAGGAAAGAAGACGGCAATAAAAATGCAAATTGATGTTCTTTTTTTTTAAAGAAGCGATTGGAATACAGTACAGGTAATCGGGCACTGGAATTATTTACCAATTTATCCTAGCCTCCGTCAAGTTCGCCATCCGGTCAACGCAGTCAACCGGCAGTTGAAGACCCAGAAGATCACCGATCTTTACCTTCCAATAATTCTTCAATTTCATTCCCCTCCCCCTCCCCAGAAAAATTACTCGTTTCTCCCACAAAAAAATCTCAAATTTAAAGAAGAAAAACCCTAGTACTCTATTCTTGAGAAAATCATTCATGACGGAAAAAAAAAGTACCTTTGTTCCGACCGACATCCAAACGGGGCTTCGGCAGCAGTCGATTCAAATCCACCGTCACTGGCAGCTTCTGGCAACGGAACTTGAAGCAAAATCACAAACTTTACAAACCCAGAATGGCAACGACTACAGTACTCGCAAACATTCTGAAATAGGAAGAACTCACCACAGATGGCTGAGGTATCAATTCAGCGACAGGAGGGACAGATGCCACTCGCTGCGCAACTATTTTCCTATTGGATGGAGGAACCACTTTTCCAACTGCAGTTAAAATACTCGTCAGGCCTGTGCATAAAAAAAAAAAAAACTCACTTCTTCACACGAGCTTAAAATATCTGCAATTACGCGATAGCGAGGCTCCAGAACTCCATTTTGGCACGAACGATCAGATCTTCACAACTTGGAAAATTATTTTGCGATCAAGATGCTAGGGGTGGTCCGAAAATAAGCACACACTCCGACGAATACCTTTCCACCGATTCATTCAACAGCCCTCTTCCACAAAGAATAAGTTTAAAACATAACCTGGAATTCAGAGAACTGAGAATATAACTTCCAATGTTAGCATAACTCAAGAAAAATTTTAAAATTAAATATGAAATACATCCGGAGATTTTTTTTTTAAAGATTTAAATTATTCGTCAGGACCCGAAAAACTTCAAATTAGAATATGTTTTGCCATTGATGACGCGAATACATTTAAAGTTTGATCAAGTGATTGAAGACGAAAAAGTAGGTGGAAACGAACTTACGAGTAAATGAATAAATTCCCACCTTTCCTAACTTCAAATAGATAGAAACTTTGCCAAAATTTTGAACACGTTGTTTTTGAGGAGAAACTGTCAATTTAAAAGGAACCCACTTAGATTCGTAGTGTACCTAAAATAACATCATGGCGTCTCGTACCTTTCTTAATTTGAAATCGATTAAAACGCTGCAGTAAACTTGAACGCATTGTATGTTCAGAGCTGACGATTAAAAACGAACCCGCTTTAATACACACCCTTCTTTCCATGATTCTCAGTGTGCCTCAAAAAGCTATTAGGCGTCTCATACTCGCAAAAAATAAGGCTGTAACTAATAACTCGCCTCCAACCGCCGCAGACATCGGAAGAGACTCTTCAGTCAAATCAACGGTTTCGATGTTCCTGCCGAAAGCTGCCACTGTTATGTTTCCGGTCCCAGGAGCTGCAACAGGTAGCTGATGGCTGTCCTTGTTCGGCGGCTGGTAGTAGGGTACCAACTGGCCCGGGGTTTGGCGAATCTAAAAGTGAAGATGATCGGTGCGGACGTTGACGAAATTCCGTTCAGTATTCGGGCTTTTTTCAAAAATTACTTGCATTTTCGCTTGAATTTACTCGAGTACGCGCAGAACAGCTTCTCATTTTAAATGTTCATGAAATTGAAATTTAACCCCGAGTAAGATGCGCACATCATATTTAGTGAATGGAAACGCAGAAAAACTAGATTTCAAAAATAAGAGACAACAGAATAAAAAATTTCAAGATGAATTCAATTAATTTTCAATCATTTGTATTTTTAGAAGTTCCCATTAAAAAATTCATTAAATTATATTTCAGCGTGACGGATACCTAAACTTTCAAAATTATTTCGAAAAATTGTATACCCGTCTATGACTTGCACCCCCTTTTTTCCTCTCAATTTTGAGAGAAAAAAAGGTGAGCGTAGTACTCGAGTAAATATGGGTCTCTATATTTTGATTGAAGATCCGATTTCACTGATACTACAGACGATCAGAACTGGACCAAGATGTCTGTTCCGAAGGTTATAATAGAAATGCAATTTAATTTTTCGGTTTTTTTTTTTCACTGGATAAACTCTCCCCAACAAATGACTCCGTTTGCTCATGATCAGAAAAAAATGAAAAAGTCTGTTCGAAGTGTTCAAATAGGAAAAGATTTTAATGCTAAAAAAAATTGGCAAACAAAACCGAATAATTACTCACTGCAACAATCGAAGCGTATTTCTGATCAGGCTGCGAAGGAGCTACCGCCTCAGGCGGAACTTTCAGCACACTTGAACTTTTGGTTATCACTGCGCTGGATTTCGGCACTGGCTTCGGAGCGATGGGTGTTGTTTTCGGGACTATGACGGCTTTCTTCAACGTATCAACAGAGGGCTAAAACAAAATCACAAAAAATTAATTACACAAATTTAATAACGATCGCAACAGCAGGACCTCGTACAACGAACGCCTCGCATAATAATTTTTTTGCATACTGAACTCGAGCTGACACCGTGTTTCTCATCTAATAATACCTGTATAATTAAAATAAATATTCACTCCATTGTATATGAATTCTAAGTGTTCATATACTGTACAATGAGTTCCAGCATAACGAAAGACGCTAAGGAATAAAATTTATTGGGGTAAAACAGGACACACAGCACGACATTACTTCACGAATAGAGATTTTTGGCTTCTAAAAATGCGCAAATTTCAACAATTTTTGAACTAAAACTTGATAATTTTTCAGATACTGTACATATAAAAGAGAAAAGAAAAGCATACGGTTTACGAAATCCCATCTTTAAAATTCGAGAATTTAGAAAGTTATGAGCACGAGTTGTCAGGATTACTAAGATTTCATGCCGAGCAATATTAAATTGAAAATTTTTTGTTGAAAAATAAAAATTTTATTGCTTATCATGGTCTTTTGGAAAGCAGCTTAAACCAATTACAATGTAATCTTTAAGAAAAGCACGTTTCAATGTGCATAACAATGCATTTCAGGAAGTATCGTATCAATCAGTCGGGGACTTCAGGTGGCCTGGAACCAATCAGCTATTTTGCACGGCGTTAAATACAACTCGGTTGATAGTACTTTCACAGAAACTGAAGAATTCCATTAACTAATTTACCAACACGTTAAATTTGCAATTAAAAAAGGAGAAGGAATGAGGTCTTACTTTCTTGTTCTGCTCGAACGCCGATCGGTAGGGTTTCGGGGCAACAACGTGCAATCCGGAGTTGGGATTTGACACCTGAGCCAACGCATGCTAAAAAGCAAATTCATTATCAATCACACGAATGAATACACTTTTCCCCCCCAAGTTCAAAAAATTACCAGAATAGCAGCTTGGTTCACCATCAAGTTCACACCTCTCGTCGTGATTGCAGGTGCTACATAATTCGCATTGGCAGCTTTCAAATCTCTTTGGGTCTTCTGCAAAATCTCCTTCACTCGATCAATCTAAACACAACCAAAACCAATTCAAGCATAATGTTTATCACAACAAATGGAGACAAATTGCACACCTCAGAAGTAGCTTTCCGCAATTTTTCCTTGGCCGCGTCCAGTCTCGATGTTAGATCCTTGCCATTTTCGAAACTGCTGAAGCCTGGAAGTTTGCTCATACAGTTGGCCAAGGCATCAAACACCAGCTTCTCGTACTGAAATGAGTTTGAAATGCTCTTAGGAAGAAAAAAACGAGCAAAAATCACAAGAATAAAACCACTTCTTCAAATTCATCCTCATTTACTTTTATCGAAAGAAATACAGAAAGTTTAATTTGTCAAATACAGAACTCAATACAATCTACGGACTCCGGCAGTGGCATTTTTTGAGCACGTAAATATCTTTTCAATGCAATTGCATATTTCGAGCATTTCCGCCGACGAGAAAACAGCCTATTTTTGCGAAGAGCCAACGTCAAAATGAAAAATCAGAGGCATTTCGAAATATTCCATACACCTATTCGTTACTCAAAAAAGCTTGAAGAAAGTTTTTGAATTTTTTTAACCGTTCCACCAGAACAAAATCGGTACCATTTCTTCGGGAAGAAAACCCCCTCACCCAACGAAGTGTCCACATACTGTAGTAAACCAACCTCATGCTTATCAATGAACTCAAATTCTGCTTTGGCCTTTTTCGGTTCGGGACACGCTTCCTCATCCACAAGCGGCCGTTTCAAAGGACCATTTTGGCACTCTGAAATGACTTCTTCGGGGGTAAATTTGAGTTCGTTGACGACAGGTTCGAGGCCTTCATCATCCGACGACAACGCTATGACTTCTTCCAAATGCTTCGATGTGGTTTCAGGCTTCTCTGCTACTTCTGACACGTCCTCGACATCATCATCAGGTTGTAGCGTGTCACTGCTGCCGTTTTCCAACGGAATCTCTTCGATTGGCTTCTCTGTCTCATCTACAGGGATTATTTTTATTTAATTAAAATAACGCAGACCATCGTGTTAAATCAGGGTTAGAATCTAAAGCATGATTTTAGAAGTAAAATCAAGATCACGCATTTTTATAATGCCTTTTTGGTACGTAACATCTTTCGATATACAGTAATTGAAATGGATCACAGAAAAATGAATACAGGTACTCTCTCTCTCTCTCTCTCTATAACGAAATTCCCAGAAACCATAAAAAATTTGTTGAAGAGAGAATTTCGAGTAGAGAACCCCTATGAAATTGGGGGGCATATGGAACAAAAAGGATACGTTATACAGAGAAAATCTTTCTATAGAGTCTACCTGGATTTATTTCTATTCGTTCCCAAGTTCGAAAGAAAATGGCTTCATTCTATCAATAGAAATTGGATAATGGCTTCTTGAATTGGAACAAATAGAATTCCAATAACTGAAATAATACAGTTCAACATCTTCAAGTCAAACTACAAAAAAACAAGCCAAAAAATTGAATCAAGGAAAGATTCAAGTTGAGGAAAATGCTTTCTTGCCGAATCTTAACAGATAATCACAGGACACTAAAATTCCTTCTAAGGCCTTAAACTGCATAATGAATGAGTTGAGACTGTTGAGAGGGTTTTGAATTTGGAGATGAGGGTTAATTTGACCAAGTAGTCAATTACATGCTTTCAAAGAGCATCAAGTCAATTTTTTCAAGTTTTATCTTTCCTGGGTGACCAGAATAATAATCCGAAAGCCTCCATTTAAGAAAGTTAGAATAAAAAATCTGAATGTTAGAGATTTATTACCGTATACACGTGTTCTCTCTACAACGATTTTCTCTGTAAAACGAATTTTTATTTAAGTTTTATGGGGTATCATTACAATTTTTTCCTGGTCCCTCGGATTTCGTTGCAGAAAAAGTTCACCTGCGCATACTACATGAGGGGATTCAGACAGGGCAAAAATAGCAGCACAATTAGTTTCGAGCTGTTGAGTTTCAACTGTACTGAAATTGAACTTTTCCCTACCTGTTACAGGTTCACTCTCTAGAACTTCCATAGAACCGTTGACAGGTTTGTCAGAAATTGCAGGAGAGTCCGACGGGTCCTGAAGAGAGGCGCCATCCGTCCTAAGCTCACTACCTACATCATCAACACCGTTATGCAGAATGTCTCCATTCGGTAACGACGGCTTCGAAAAACCGTCCGACTCCACAGAGTTTCTGTGAGGTTTGTCGATCACATCACATTCCGGAAACAGGAAGCTTCCGACTTCCTTCCCAGCCTCTCCAGTTGATTCTAAACGCGCGCTTGCCATCTCAGCCAGCCTCTCACACTTTCGTCATTGCCGCTGCGTTTCCATCGTGGTTTATTGTCAAAATCATCTGGAAACAACGCGAGGAAGTTATTAGAGGAAATGAGTCAATCGATCGGAAAATCCGACGAATAACAGACGCAAATTTCTTTCAGAATGTCACATTCCTTCGAGTCACATGATTCGGCAAAAACTGAAGAAATCTTCAGTGGAAAAAATGGAGCCAGGAGTTCCGCGGAAAATAGTTGCCAACACCGTTACATACATTCCAATACGATTTTTTTGCACAGTCTTATACAATGAACAATAGGAAGAGACTGGAACTGCAGCTGGTTCAAATAACGAACCACATCGCAGAGAAAACATTTTTTTCCTCTAAAAAATAACAGAAGGTTTCATTCGGGCGGTTGGTTTGGTATTCTTCGTATCCTACGACGCAATAAAAACAGGCAAGAACGATTCCATCCATCAGAAAAATAAAATGCAGAACGCTTAGGTACCAAAAAACGAACTCAGGAGTGGAATTCCTTGACGCATAGTTCGCAGCTCCAGCTGCCATCTGGCGGTGCTTCCAAAGGTGGCCTCAAACAGTACATGTGGTAGCCTCTATCGCAATCGTCGCAGAATAACAATTGATCCTATAAAACAAAAACACAAAATGAATAATCCATTCAACTGATACCCCCCCCCCCCCTTCAATTAACGGAATTCTCTGAAGAAATCCATTCGTCATAGATCAAACTCACATCATTATCGGATGTTCCACAAGTGGTGCAACACTTGCATTCAATGCACTGCCAACGGTATTTCTTCACTGAGATGATCATGTTGGCCGTGAACTGCAAGCATGTTGGATGTCCTGAAAAATTATAAATGCAGTCAATAAGACTTTTGTTCAAATTCAAAAAGTTTCTAGTCGTACTTCGCGACTAATTCGAAACATTGGTTCAACAATTGCTGAATCTCTAGAACATTATGAACCATCGCATTTAAACTGTACAGAGAACGTAATTTTCTTCTTACAACAGACACAATAAATTCAAGATTTCAAAAACTCCCATTTGCTAAATAATTCAGTTCGATTTTAATATAATTAGCTTCTTCAAAACTGACCACTTATTCTTTCTACAATACACAATTTCTCAATCAGTGAACCCCTTACTAGGTATCATGAATGACAGATGTCATCAACGAGTGAACATATGAAAATCCACATGGACGCAAGCGTCTTGGGAAAACTTTTCTCGCATTTCCCACAGATGTCGTCAGAATCACTAACCCCATCAAATTAATTGAATAATCAACCGAGGCACTTGAATACTGTCGAACACATTCTTGGAGGGAATCGCCCATTTTATTCCACCGATTTTTACGTTTGCATCATTATTGACTTTTCATTTCAGACTCACCAGATCTGCCACAGTCGCTGCAGGACACCAACTCCTCGCTCTTATGAGTCTTCTTGTTGAGCCCAACGTCGCCCAAGCAGAAATCGCAGTAATTCGAAGGCGCCGCTCGACCAGGCGCCTCTGCAGCCGGGGTAGGGGTAGCCACAGCAGGCGACCCAACAGCGTCCCCAGTATTCATCGGAGAACTGTTCTCAAAATTACTACCGCCGGTGGATTCATCGTTGCTCGTCTCTGGCGGCACAAAAGGTGGCGGGGGCGGTTGAGCAGGGGCGACAGCAGCAGATGAAGCAACTGGGGCAGCCAACGACGCGGTGGCGCTTTTCTTGGGCCTTCCACCACTCGGTCCTGAACGAAAAATACACACAAACACAGTACATGAATGTCTTCTTTCAAAAACTTTTATTCAAACATTTTTGTGTGCTTTTTTTGATACACCATTTACTGCAACTCTGAAAATAACAAGAGTCGTTTCCTTCCCGAGGAACAGCTTTAGAAAAAACCACAACCACTGCTTACCCTACTTCGCAGATGCCAACCTGCACCACCAGGGAAAAATTCCGACTCATCCACAATAATAAAAAAAAAGATCAACTACTGTGACATACCACTTACAACAAATCCCGTTACCTCTTTTTGTACTTGAAGTGATTGGCTTTCGTAGAAAACAGAGCGGGACAAACGTAAGGAACACGGATCCCATAATGAATATCCTTTGGGTTCAAATGTATTCAAATTTTTCAAAAAAATTATGGGCGCTATCTTGAAGTTGAAAGAATTTCTTTTAAAAATTTTCGAAGTTGCGCAAGCATTTTGGGAAAAACAAATTGATGTTGATCGGATTCAGAACAAGAGACAACGAAGGAAAACTGAACAAACGCTCGAATTGAACCATCATCCGGTCTCCTTCAACTTATACAATATTTCAACGAACAAATTTGATTAAAAATTAAGGTTTTTCATTGTAAAACCTGAAAAAAGCTACTGAAAAAAGGTGAAGTTCCGCTGCTTCCCACGCATTTCAGATTACTATAACCATGAAAAGTATCATTCCCCGTTACGGAATAAATATTACATGATGCAAAACAAATATCATTCCCAGACGATTGAGAAAATTCATTTGAAAAATCCCTTCACGATAAGCAATATTTACATGTACTGTACACTAATGAGCAATCAAGTCTAATGCAATTTTTTGGAGCGACACTGAAAAATTTCGAAAGCAGTAACATTCATTAGACTTCATCTGATACGATTTTAAATAATCCTGCTGCAAACCAGATTTATTTTCATGAAAACTTGATCAAATCTCGTCATTTGAATACACTTCGAAAGCTACTGTAGGTTTCCGTTCCAAGCTTGAAATGCGGAAGAAGCGGCAGAAAGACATCCAGGTTTCCAATGTCCCAAGAAATTCGAAAATTCAATTTTTTTTTCACAGGAAAAATAATCCACAGGTCACACGTAAGAAACAACTTCGAAGCAGCGAATTCAAGAAAATACGATAGAAAGTTCAAGAAGAAAGCTCATTTGGAACAGTGAGAAGCCCATCAGAACACCATTTCTGACTGGGGGAAAAAGGCATCCAAGTGCGAGAAGATAACACGTCCAAAAAAACAACACAGATTCCCCGCGTGATTTGAAAAATAATCAATACCGCATGCATCATCGGAAGAAGACGCTCAATACAAACGTGTTCAACACAGGGGGATATATTTCCCCCACTTCTTAGAAACACGCGATGGAGAACGAAGAGGAAGAGAAAACGCAATCGCTCATCACAGGCGATGATGAAGGAAAGAACAATGGGATGGTCGCACAGGATACCATACCGAGTACCATCTCATGATACCATCTTACGCCAATGTAAGACGCATTTTTACATTTTCTATGATTTTCTTCAATTTTGCCTCACGAACAATTTTTTCTTTCAAGTACAATGTCGCAGATTTTAAACGCAATCAAGTAGATGTCGCCTGGATTTTTAACATTTTTCTTTCACCGTTTACAGCAAAATATCATTACAATGAAATCCCCGGGACATGGGAAAACATATTATGCAAGGAAACATTCCTTATACAGTATCCAGAATCATGGCTTTCAGACTGAAAATTTGCGTCTGCAATAGATAATTTCAGACAACAGTACAACTCTGACAACACTCAAGTGGAACAATTTCCAACAGATAGAATCTTGCCAAGACGAATCTCGTTAAAAGGAAAAATTGCTCTTCAACAGTCTCAACGATGTTCTTTTTCGTCCTTATCGAATAGCCCTAAAGATAGTTACAACATATTCCTTAAAACAGAACTACACCCAATGGTTTCGTTCTCAAACCGAACCTGCATTACCTAATAATGAGCAGAATTTCTTGAAAAATAAAAAACGGTATCAGAAATTCAATACAGTACTTCTTTCCATCCTGTATGTTATTGGAAATGGAGGAATATGCTTTTCAATACCTATTGCATATTTGAAAGACAGGATTTGTGCTCCATCTGTACCAAATAATCGAGCCTCCAAAACCAAGCAGTTGATCAAAAATTTTTCTTTCAGAGGCTGAACAAAAATTAAAGCTCGTCTCGGAATGAAACCATAAGCGTCTTACACTCGCGTAAACATGTCAAGTTACCAGTTTCTTTCATTCTTTTGCATACCAAGAGCCTGGAGCTGGGCAAAAATGGACTCCTGGAATTCCGACGACGGGGCCGGAGGGTTCGAAAGCGGGTTCGAATCAGAATTCCTGTCCTTCTCCCTGTCAGGGGAATCGCAAGACCCGGTCCGAGCCGACGATGGTTGCGGGTGGTACTGCGGATGGTCCTTGTGGATGTGCGTGTAGTGGTAAGCCAGACCCGGGCGCGTTTTGTACCTTATGCCGCAGACTGGCGACAGGACGAGCTCTTTTTCACTTTTCATCACATCGCAGGACACTCAAAATTTGTGTGTTATGAATAACCACGAGGAGATATACACACACATTCCTCGCCCGATCAAGAAAAATACCGTCCAAACCCCCACGAACAGGATTTCTCGACAACAATGAAGGCGGTTGAGCATCACATTTACGCATTCTTGAAAATATGGCGCTTCGAGACGCGAGTTGATCTCGAAAGGAGGGTCCCAAGGTTCTCATAAAAGACAACTTTATTCAATAGGAAATCATACAGAATAGAAAACTTGCAAGCCAACTTCCGAACATGAATCCTAAGTGCAACGTAAACTCAATTTCAATTCAATTGACTTCACAATTATCTCCAATTTTATGCCTTCGGCTGCAACGACATCCAAAATATGAAAAAATTAAGACCAAGGTCGAAGTTCGATCAATAATTGAGCAAGAACTTTCGTACACAAATTACGAATCTGGGTCTAAGTATCATCATTAAAGCAACATCACAGAAAAACCCTAAAAATAAAATGTTCACAACCTATCAATCTCAAGTTTATGACTATAGCATGGGTTGAAAAAAAAAACGTTAGTTTGAAGAACTTTCCCTCGAAAAATGAAATATAAAAAGAAATCCCTTTAGAAGAAATTTGTTTTTTTGTCAGCCACAATGATGATTAAATTTCTCCATAACGAAGCTTCTTCCTGGGCTATATGGCTTTGTTGCAAGGAGACGTCACTGTAATACCCAATGCGTGATATGAGTTCATCAGATCCATCATGAAAAATAAACCCGAAGGTCAAATACTGAAAACTCATTTCATGTTCGAAAACACTCACTAGGCATCAAGAATTAACGCATTGGTTGTGAAAAGCAATACCATTCATCTCGTGTATATTTCCCTTCCGCTTGGGATGGAACCAGCCAAGATCACAAAAAAATCATTCACGGAACTTCGGGATAGAAATAACCGGGATGCGATTGGAATCCTCAAAATTTAAGCAAAAAAATCCGGCACAAAACACAACAAAAATCACGCAGTGAAACGGCGTGCAATAAAACAAAAACTCCATGGCAGCAAAATACACGACTCGGTGCTAAACGCTTCTTGTTGCAAACAAAAAAAAGCAAACACATGACGAAAACATTGCTTTCATGCCGAGATTTAAGTTCTGTATCACAACTACTCTTGAAAGGGTCATTTCCATGCTTTAATTCCTTGATTTTTGAATTTAGTTCCCCCCCCCCCCCCCACAAAATGTTGACTCCTATGAAATTATGCCCGGTTTTCGAATATCCCTGCTTTTCAAAACCTGTGACTGACGTTGCATAAGGTCACTATCGACCTTCAGTTGGTCCAACAGGCGCCAAACATGTATTTCACCTCAACACAAAAAAATTTCGCGTGGGAGGTCCAAAAAATCACAGAAAGTCATAGAAGGGATGACTCATCTTCGTTTTCGTGCTGAAAAAGTTAACGGATTCAACCATTCAACATCAATGCCATCAAGTTCGGCACCTGAAAAACACACGCATCTTCAAGATAAGCGCCTGATAATTCCATCTCACTAGAGGGTGGGACAATTTTCTACTGATCTTGCATCAGTAATATTTTGAAAACCTATCGTCAATTCCCAAGACCAAAAATTAGACTTACATGAAATTTATATTTAATTCATGGAACCATGAAAATTTCTACCATAGAAAGACTTACGGTACCTCGGCAATAAATTTCCAAATTACTGTACCAATAAATCCAACTGCAATGAATCTGACACTAAGGAGATAATTTGGCCTAAAATAAATAAAAAAAATCAACGAAGCGATTCGAAATAAAGTGATTTTACGTAAGTTTCTTAGCAATGATAGGAACGGTAGTACAGTACTTCATTTATACAACACATAACATGATTATTGTCATTCGAGACGTGCTCACAAAGAAGTTGTAATGGAATGGGTCATCTTCAGAATACAGTATAAACTTTCGGGGGAAAACCATTCATCCAAAAATTGCCTCTGCGTCAGTTTTATTCACTAGAATACTTGATGCATTATTGGGCTTTCATTCGGTGAAATCGGTGGAGTCGGACAAAATCGACTGCAGTTGGGTTGAAATACATATTTGATCGAAAAACCTTTTACTTGATGGAAAAAACAGTACAGTATCATAGAATTATTCGAACTTACGAAGTTACCATACTGAACACACAAAACTTCTGTGTGAGCTTTTCTGCTGAACTGAATTCCCGTCTACAAACGTTTTTCTCGAGATTTTTTCGACCTCCTCACGAGCATTGAACGCGAAAAGCAGAACGGAACATCCATCATGTTTTTCTACACTAGTTCGACCTTCCAGGAATTTATCCAAGTTGATCCCCACTAAGAAAAAAATAAGGACTGCATCGGAATCCCTTCTTTCCTTTGTATAGCACTGCAATCACTCAAATAAGACATGCCTATAAAGCACCGAACAACAAACTAAAAGCAAATATAAACCACAGGGACCACGGATCCCCGAATGTTTCTTTGTCTTAAACTTTTTTTTTGTTCCCGATCATTTGCTGACCGCTTGGAATGCGCACTCATCACAGTTCACCGCTTTTTCTGCTTCGTTTTCCGGCGCCCGCCTGAATTCGTGGCAAAAACGAAAGAAAGTAAAGCAGGGAATGAAAATAATCACGAAATTTCATCACATCTTAGATTCGCATGGCATTTAATAAGAATTTTGCAACGACTGGATTCATGTTTTACAAGGCCGGCTGGAGATACGAACCCAGAAAGCAAATAAGAATATCATTTTTTGTGTGCACCGTGTCCGAATTCACGTCGAGAAAAAGAAAAAAAGGCCCCTGTCTGTCTCCCCAACGCAACGCGAATCATCTTTTTCTCACTCGGACACGACGCGTTGCTGAGGGCTACAATATATCTCATCCATAAATCTTTCCAGGAAAAAATTGATTAATAAACCAGAATTTAAAAAATACTATTTACATTTACTATTAATAGAGATAATTCATACAATTTTAACCATAAAATATAAATTCATCATCTCATTTGTCTCGTTAGGTCTGAAAAAAAGTCAATCCTACGAATTCAAGAGAATCAGAAGGAACGAAGAAAATGATCTTAGATAGGTAAGTAACCGAATTTTGCCATCATTCGAAGTCATGAAACGGAATATGGATACAAAAATACAGTATTGTAAGAAAAATAAGGTTTTACTTCAATATGCAAAGCGAACGCTAGAGGTCATTAATTCTAGCAATTAATTTATAAAAATGCGATGTTAATGGATCCTAGTGGCTTTCGCAAAAACAAAAATTTCAGCTTTGGAACACCCTCTCAACTCGAACAATTTATTCAACATCTGCTGAAGGGAGAAAATTGAGCATAAAATATTTTCGTAAAAATTTCAATACAATCTGCTTCAAGTTGATTCGTTAACTTACGCACGTAAGACTCGATCAAGATTTAATACACGTAATTTACGATCAATTCATTCGAAACATGAATAACGAAATACAACGAAACCACTGAAGCCATCTGTATGAACTCAGGAGAATATTCACAAAAATTGAAGATTTCACTTAATAGAATTAAGAAAGAAATACGAAAAAAATCCTAAGATTTGTAACTTGCGCTGAAGTTCGAATCGGAGTTCCGACAATCAAACGGGTCAACAAAAGAAGTAATCTGAACAGACAGTGAACATCTCCACATAAAATCCAACACCAGAAAAAAATTGGGTCAACTCCAGTCGGCCTCATAAATTCCAGTCAGCACAAAAATAAGCGATTGCTCGTAACCTTTTGTTTGACAAGACCTTTAGGAAGAAAATCCAGGCGCAGACACACGAAATACGAAGCAGGAGCGTCGAATAATGCGATCGAAATCGTGCCACGTTGCACAGACAGACAGGCGACCAAAATTTCATGGATGAGTCGAAATCTTGTTCCCTTCTCTCAATATCTTCAAATTTCGATTCCGAACTAAATTCTCCCCACAAGGACACGGTGCATGGAAACTCGAGGATTCCATCGCAGGAATCTCTTTTCCATATCATACGCTAAGATTCTTTTTTTAGCGGCTGAACTAAAGAGTTACACAGAGGAAATCGCCGCTAATCTCCAGCCAGCTATGCCAATCTGAAAATCCCTCCAAACGCCCTCACTGGCTTTTCTCAGAAGTTTCTCGGCCCAATTTTATGTAAATTTCCGTAGATAAGAAAACAGGCAAAAAATACTCACTTTCGCAGCTGAAAGGTTTGTCACTATCAGCTTCGTAGTTTTTGTCGTAACCCTTTTTCCTTCCTCGCGTCGTTTGCTGCAAAATTACAAAATTCTAAAAATTAGAGACACGTAATCAACGGAGGAAAAGCCTCTTCAAAAGTTTCATTATCTATGAGTTGATGGAATCTTGGCATAAATGAATCTAGACAACGTCAAATTTCATTAAAAATCGATGCTTTGGACCCTAAACCAAAATCGTGGAAATCTTCAAATTCACTAGTCTTGGAAGGTACAAAAACAAATTCATGGTTCAACATAAGCTTTTCTTTCACCAGAAAAACCTGCCTTTGGTGTGGATTCTTTCGCCCGAGCTTTCTTCTTTTTCTTCTTATATGACTCCTCGTAATCAAAATCTGAGTCGGCATCTTGGGGTTGGTCGAAATCTTCCTCGTCTAAACCGAGGTCATCTTCGTAATACGCCCAAGAGGCTTCGGGTTGCTGTAATAGGGAACACGAGTAAATTATGAAAGAACGAGGCAAAATAACAAGGAATTTTTCTAATCGTTGCATCTTTCTGCCAATCAATATACAATTTATAGAGTAACACGAAGTAAATAATTCTGATATGAAAAACTCACAACTGCTTTGGCTTGCTCGTTGGAGGAAAACTGGTCTCTACTATCTTCCTTCGGCTCCAACATTGGTAAACTGTTGGACTGCGTCAACGCGAGGTCAACTAAGAGCAAAAAATAAAACACCACTTAAGAATAGACATCATTCCAGTTCGATATTTTCGATAAAATTAGGAAAAAATTTTGTTTGAAACATCAGCGTGCGTTCTTGAGTATATTCGATGGCGTCTTGAATCTCGTTCAATGCACGAGCGCTTTTGAACATACCGGTTCGGATACCTAATTATAATTATAATTGTCACCTTTTCAAGCATTTGAAGTTCCAGTTCACAGAAAATCTTGATCCCATTGATAGTTTTCAATTACAATGTTCTTTTTCGCGGAGTTTAACGGAGACTAAACCCGGGAACTGAAGCATTTAGCATGATCACAGGACAAAAGCATAGATTGCTGCGAAAATGAGTTTTAAATCTTGAATCACCTTTCTGCAATTTTTGGCACGAAATGTTCCCTTAAATCACTCGCATATCATTTTCGGCTGATCAAGATATGTAAAAAGTGAGGTACAGTACAGTAATTATGGCATTCCAGTTTACAGAAAATAAGTTTCTTTACTCGCAATCCTTTCCGTAATCTGGGATGAGAACTGTTCGAATCTTTCCACTCCACAGCTATACACCTTTTGAATTATGTTACTTTTCCCGACAGACCAACACGCAAACAATCTATCACCTTCAACGTAAAAATTGAACAGGAAAGGAGGGCTTTTTCGCACCTGACTCCAACAAAGTTTCTGGCACTTCGGCCTTGACGACTTTCCGAGGAAAATTGAAGAAGTTCAGGTGATACTGCCGCTTCCGTTTCCGCCATTTGGCAGCAGGATACACGTACAGCTTTCCGAGTGACGAGTCACCAGGCATTCGATCTCGTCGATTGAACATCAACATCGAACTGTTCTGGGCAATCCCTATAGAGAACAGTAATGATTCAATAAAAACGATGCGTTGAAAAACTCATATCGATTCACAGGGCGAGCCCCGAATGATCGGATACGCTTTTAACGCCGTCATTTCCTAATCCACTCGCATTTCGGTTAATGGGCTTAACACCCATTAGTTTCAGTGGAAGGTTCAGTAATTCAGAGATGTTGAATACTGTACTACGAAAAAGAACTGCCAATCAAGCCACTCCACTCAGCGCATGTAATGGATAAGAAATGGCTCATAATGAATTCCCTCACTACATATTCTGAAAAAATCAAGTTACTGTAATCGTAAAAAAAAAGCGTACGCATTTAGTGTTACAGAATCAAGAATGAGAAAAGCTCGTCCACTTTGAAATAATAATGAGCCAGGTTGTAAAATTTTCGATTTCTTGGACAGACAGTCGATATTTTCACCGGCTATTTCTCACCATTATTTTACACAGTGCATATCCGCAACAAAAAATCGGTGGCGGCACGAGTCCATCGCGAGAAAGATAGATCATCCCGTAATATGCAAGCAATCAGAATTCAACCCCTCAGAAATTTAATTAATAATTATCTTCAGATTCTGATTCAATACAGAGACGAAATGCGGGTCGAACAATTCGCACGATTCTCACTTATATGGAAATACTGTATGTAATTAATTAAAATTCCTAAAATTAAGTTCGGAAATACTGACCAGTTTGCGCGTCTAGAAATGGTAACCTCATCCTACGCTCCACCAAAAGCCGCGTGTTGAAGGAAGACGCATTCTCCAACATGTCTTTGTAAGCCTTGTCGGACAGGAAACTATAACATATACAACTTTACTGTAGTCAACTTTCAAAATATTTCAAGATCCTTGATTACATTTCCAAAATCGTGAAATTACTGAAACAGCTGCGCAGATAACAACCGGAGTCAACAGACAAATGCAATTTCAAGCGCAATTTCGGCGCATCTCATGAATGAAAATAGGAGAGTTCAGTGTTTCAGGAAAATTCCGCGAAGAAATTAGATTTTCCTTGAGGTTTCTCCTCAGTCTTACAAAATTCCACTCTGATCACTACAAGTCAGTCAATAATGATTTTCGAAACGGTAGACAGGCGTCACCTGGAAAATTAACCCCTGAAATTAATCCAAAAATATACCTGACATGAGCCAACTAAACTTTGACCAGAAAAATCTGAGCGATATTTGCATACCGGCTAAGAAAATCACGGAACGACAGGCATCTTAGTGAAAACAAGAATTTCACAAGAAAATTTCTACTCACTTCTCCACCGACTGAAAAGAGAAAGGTTTGGCCGGCTGTGGGCCAACCGGCTCGTCGCCAGGGCCAGCCTGCGGCATCCTTGAATTCACAGATCACAATAAAAGTTTTTTTTTTTTTTCACAGCTCCCTGCATCAAAACCATACAAAATTATTTCAGATGATGTTCTTAAAAACTTGAATAAGAAATCAGAGAAGATCCTTGGAGTCGCCCAGCAGCAACTGAAATGCAAAATTTTGAAAATATTCGTTCATGAAATTGTTTCGTCGGAAACCTTCTAGAAAAATGCAACAAGGTTTTACAGGGGAAGGGAAAGTAAATCATGGGCAACACAGATTAAAAGCATAACCGTGAAAAATCAATTCTATGATTAAAAAAAATCTTATTTTGAACTACACGGAAAACTTGTTTGTGTTCAACTCTCGATTCATGAAATAGATATCCCATATCCGGAAAAGGTTACCTGAAAGTCATGACCGCATTCAGGAACATTGAAATACTGAATTCAGGAATATTCTTCGGATGACACTGCAATAAAGATTGAACACTGTTTCAGATTCGACACAGTAATTTGACATCTCCTGAATTTTCATTTCAAATTGTTCAGATAAGCCGAAATTCTTCTTCAAAATGATAAGCATAATCAATGCCTCTCATCATCATCCTCGCTTTGGAGAAGTTCAGAAACTCACCTCGAAGATTCCCGGACGAACGTCACATCTCACATGCACCTGAAAATTGAATTCACAATCGTTTGAGAACCCACGAACGAACTGACGATACGATTTCAAGAGGTGATATTTTCAGAGAGGGCAAGTTCAAATATCAGCAGCTTATGTTCAGAAAAACGTAACCCTACTATCAATGGAAACCAACAAACTTTTCTCACCTCCAGCATTTGCGAGGATGCGAATCGTTTTCAATCCAGCCGAACGTTTCCAAAGACGATCTAAATTCCGAATACAGTGTAATAGAAAAATGCCTGCGTCAGAAACGAAAATTCACTCTACATAGAAATGAGTTTAAGTCAAGGTCAGAGAGGGCAAGTAAAATTTCAACATAGGAAATTCAGAAAGACTTTCATCATATGAAATGAACTCCAGAAAATATTGCGTGAAAAATTACTGTGCGATACGTAACTCGTAATGACACAAAGCCTTTTTGGTGACATTAAAATCCCCGATGATTAAATTTGGTCATTCCTAATACAGTATCAAGGATTATGAATGCATTTTGAAGTTTGACTAAAACTCCACCCGAAACATTCGAACTGCACAGTAATTTCTCAGATATTCATAAATTCACAAGTGTATGGACGTACTAACCCTCAAAAATTCGCCTTCACGATTCTGTGGAAATCCGCAGCAAAATCTAAAAAAAAAAATTGTCCGTTAGTCACAAATAAAATCTCTTGTGCGCTAATTAGCATATTTCAGAGGATCAGAGAGGGCAAGTAAAATTTCAACATGAGAAATTCAGACACACTTTCATCATACGTGTTGAAAATAAAAAATGTCTTTTGAAGCGTCTCGGTGCATTGCAAATTTTTCGATTACAGAACAGGTACAAAAATAAAGACTTTTTAAATTGTCAACCTTTTGTTTGTGTAACTCAGACGGCAATTCTTGAAAGAGAACCAGCAATTTCCATAGTGAAAATTTACAAAAAACATTTCCACTGCACAGTACGTTCGAGCACACGCTATGGTTAATGCAGTTCATGAGCTTACTAACCTCGCGAAAGTCGCTCATCTGACCTTGACATCATCCGCACACAGAACCTGAACAAAAAAACTTCTTTTAAAAATCAAACGCCGATAATTTCGAACAAAAACGGGCTTCGTTTGAAGATCAGAGAGGGCAAGTAAAATTTCAACACAGGAAATTCAGACACACTTTCATCACATAAATTTACGCATGGAGATCTCGAAGACGGAGAACAGCACTAACCGTCGAAAATGTCGCATCGATGATTTTCACTCGATCTGCAGACAAACCCTGCAAATGGGAACATCATTAGAGATCATGCTACTCTCATTTAGCATAGAACTGAATTCCAATGAAAAGTCAGAGAGGGCAAGTAAAATTTCAGCACGAAAATTTCAGTAAAACTTTCATCACATTAGTTTAAGCATCGATATCTCGAAGACACAAAACACTAACCTCTGATAACGTCGCCACCATAATTTCAAATCAATCAGCGAACAAACCCTGCAAATGGAAACGCTTTCATTAGGGAAACATGGAAATAATCTCGAACAGATTTGAATTAAAATCAAATACTGTATCAGAGAGGGCAAGTAAAATTTCATCACAGGAAATTCAGCAAAACTTTCATCACATAAGTTCACGCATTTCGATCTCGAACATGAAAAACAGCACAAACCGTTGCAAATGCTATCCGTTTCATCTCCAACCGATTTGTGAACAAACCCTGCAAATGGAAACGCACTCATTAGGGAAACAGGCAAATCCCCTCGAACGGAACTGAATTCATATAAAATACTGTATCAGAGAGGGCAAATAAAATTTCATCACAGGAAATTCAGCAAAACTTTCATCACATAAGTTTAAGTATTTAGTACAGCATCAGAACCGCACTAACCGTTGAAAATGCTGTCCGTTTGATCGCCAATCGATTCGTTGACAAACCCTGCAAATGGAAACGTGTTCAGTAGAACGTGCAATTCAAACCTCATAATAGAATTGAATTCAAGGCGAATATCAGAGAGGGCAAGTAAAATTTCATCACAGGAAATACAGCAAAACTTTCATCACATGAGTTTACGTATTTAGGTACAGTATCAGAACCGCACTAACCGTTGAAAATGCTGTCCGTTTGATCGCCAATCGATTCGTTGACAAACCCTGCAAATGGAAATTCGTTCATTAGAACGTGCAATTCAAACCTTATAAAAGAACTGAATTCAAGGCAAATATCAGAGAGGGCAAGTAAAATTTCATCACAGGAAATTCAGCAAAACTTTCATCACATAAGTTTACGTATTTAGGTATCAGAATAGCACTAACCATTGAAAATGCTGTCCGTTTGATCTCCAATCGAATCGCAGACAAACCCTGCAAATGGAAATTCGTTCATTAGAACGTGCAATTCAAACCTTATAAAAGAACTGAATTCATGGCAAATATCAGAGAGGGCAAGTAACCTTTCAGCACAGGAAATTCAGACACACTTTCATCATGTAAATTCTAGAATATTCAAGAGTAATTCAACGCACTAACCTGTTAACACGGCGCCTGTGCGACACTAAAAATCTCCCGAAGAGCAAAAACCTGAAAGAAAAATGAAGAGTCAAGACTCAGGTCATAAACTTTCAGAACTCCGACCATCAGTGACAGGAATCTTCAAGATCTAAATGCTTAACGCTCAGAAAAAAATTCCATTGCTCGTCATTAAAATTCAGAAACACGGACCAATGGATTTGCCTCATCATGAGATAATACTGTACCGTCATTCTTAAATAAATACCGACAAGGAAATAACAGGCTTACGTTTGAAATTGGTTTCCACGTCAAATCTTCTGTACGTTCTTCACAGCACCTGAAACATATTTTCGGCATGACATATTAACAAAATAAGACAGACTCGGCATCAATTGCAAAAAAAGAATGTTCAGGAAAAAATTCCATTAATCTTCAAACAAAAGTCAGAAACACGGACCAATGGAGTCATCTCATCATGAAGTATTGAAAAATACAGTATGACAATGAAACTTGAAAATAACGGCGACTCACCTAGACAAATGACTTCTTCTTCCCATCACGTTCTCGACAGAATTTTCCACGAAAACCTGAAAATAACACTTTCTGCGTTAGTTTCAAATGGTTCAAGCTAATTTCAACAGAAAATCGGGAAACTCTTCAATTTCAGCGAATCAATTCCATTACTCTTCACACAGAAGTCAGAAACACGGACCAATGGATTCATCTCATCATGAACTATTGAAAAAATACAGCATGGCAATGCAACGTGAAAATAACGGCGACTCACCAAGACAAATGCTTTCTCCTTCCCGACACGTTCTCAACAGAATTTTTCACGGAACCTGAAAATCAAAATTTCTGAATAAGTGGCAAATCGTTCAACCTTTTTTCAACAGAAACTCGAGAAATTCTTTACATTCAGCAAATTAATTCCATTACTCTTCACACAGAAGTCAGAAACACGGACCAATGGATTCATCTCATCATGAACTATTGAAAAAATACAGCATAGCAATGCAGCGTGAAAATAAAGGCGACTCACCAAGACAAATGATTTCCCCTTCCCGACACGTTCTCGACAGAATTTTTCACGGAACCTGAAAATCAAAATTTCTGAATAAGTGGCAAATCGTTCAACCTATTTTCGACAGAAACTCGAGAAATTCTTTACATTCAGCGAATTAATTCCATTACTCTTCACACAGAAGTCAGAAACACGGACCAATGGATTCATCTCATCATAATATTTCACAAAAAAATGACAGCACAACGTGAAAAAGACGGCCACTCACCTTGCAAAAAGGATTGCATCAGTTCGGCGCATCTGTGATGCTAATCGCAGCACCTAGAAGATACAATTTCTGTTCAAATTGATCAAACGGAGACGATTGAATCAAATTAACTTTTGATGGAAAATCAAGTTCAGCGATATAATTCCATTTATCTTCAAACAGAAGTCAGAAACACGGACCAATGGATTAATCTCATCATTAACGATTGAAAATGATAAAAGGGATTAAAATACATGAAAATAATGGCGACTTACCATGGAAAATCCTCTCCTTCTCTTGACACATTCTCAACAGAATTCTTCATGGGACCTGAAAATCATATTTTCGGCATAAGTCGCAAATCATACGAGATAATGTCGACAGAAATTTTATGAATGAATTACGCTCAGCGAAGTCATTCCATTACTCTTCACACAGAAGTCAGAAACACGGACCAATGGATTTATCTCATCATCAGAAATATATTCAACACATCCTTACACTGTAACTCACCTCGTCATGACATTCGACGTTGCCCTCGACTCGACATCGGAAAAATCTAGAAAAAAAGAAAATTTCAAATAAAATCGATTCCCACTCGTACGTAATTTCGATTCCAATTTTCAAATAAATTATCTTCAGGTAACTATTCCATTTGATCTTCAAACAATAAGTCAGAAACACGGACCAATGGATTCTTCTCACTAGAAACTTTTGGATCGCTCAAAGAAATGAACATTACTCACTCACCTTTCGGGTTTATCATTCAAAATCCTTCGAGTCGGATAGCGATTTGGAAAACTGAAAAGGAAAGCATACATTCAACAAGAGAGATCAAGCTTGAGGACCAACTGATGGCGAGAAAACCAGTTGAGCGCGTCCAAAACCAACGCACGGAAACGAATACAAAGAATTCAGAACAAATCAATCCCGGAACAGGATCAAAGTATCGGTGATTGAAAACCGTTGTAAATTTTATCGATCAACTCAACAATTTGAATAAGAACCCCTATTCACAAGGATGATTAACCACAAGTACTGCATTATGAATACGTGATACGAAGGAACATTTTGGAACGAGCTCAACTGTACGATCACGCCAATTGAGAATCAGAAAATTACGTCTCGTCGATCAACATTCGAGATTCAGAGCCCAATGCTCTGAATAAATGAGACAATTCATCATGCAAAGAATTCATGGTGCGAAAGAAGTTGTCTTGTCAAACTCACCTAAAGCCAAAGTAAGCTTTAGTTCAGCTTCCGGAACTGGACTCAACAGTGCTTCCTCAATGCTTCCTGAAGTCAGAAGTAAAATACGACAAGAGAACCCATCAACCACTGCAATCGTAATTTTAGGAGAGATACAGCAAGTGTATCAAATATTCAAAATCAGTATTAGTCCCTTTTATCAACACGATTATTCAGAGCCCAATGCTCTGAAAATTCGAGACAATTCATCATAAGAAGTCCAGCATAAAAGAGAACAATTGACCAACTCACCTAGATTATCAATTTGCTGGTTGTACTGCTTCCAAAATTCTCGTCCGCGCCTTCCGCATCTGAAAACACGAAAAAATAATTAAAAGAGGTCCTTTTTCGAAGATTCATAAAATCTAATTTCAAATCAACACATTTTCAGATAATTTAGTCCCAGTTATCAACACCGTTACTTCAGAGCCCAATGCTCTGAAAATTCGAGACAATTCATCACGAAAAATCCAGCATACGCAAAAAAACAGTTGTTTACCTTTCACAGTCGCAACATCTGTCAGTTCCAGTTTTCTGAATGCCCTTTCGAACCTACGAAGAAGATATATACAGAATGAACCGATGGAAGAAATTCAGCATCTTTAAAAATTGCATGAGAATATATTTTACTGTGTTCGATATTTTCAGATAATTAGTCCCCTTTATCAACACGGTTCTTTCAGAGCCCAATGCTCTGAAAATTTGAGACAATTCATCACAATGAAAAAAATAATAATAAAAAAAGCAGAGAAAAAATTCAGGACTTACTTGATGAGAATATCACACCGGAAGACCACATCATTCAACACGGCATCTGGAATCAACACGACGACATGCGTTCAGGTATTTTCACATTGAAATAGATCCGGCGATTCATGAATTATAGTCAATATACAGTGTTCAGATTGAAAACTAAGAATCAAGTCGCGAGTCTCGATTCCAATTGGAATGGCTTCAAGCGTGTCAGGTGAAGGTTTCATCATTGAAAAAACTACAGCAATGGATTTCAGAATAGATAATCATTTGTTGCTCACCATAAAATGTTGCGTCCTCGTGATCACTTCGCAATCCGGTTAACAGTCTTAAAAAAGAAAGGAATAAAATAACACCGACTGAAATACTGTACACGAGACATTGCACCGTATTCACACAAAATGTAGACACACCATGGTATCCAAGACGCACTTTCCATCTAATTCACAGATTTTTGACGCGAAGTTGATGGGACAACATGCGTACAGCGGAAATTATTCTGCACTGGGTTGAGTGGAATATGCATCCTATTTGAAATAATGCCTTCGCAAACAAGACCTCTGGCAAGACAAAACTGCAATAAGAGACTTCGTTCCGAATTCCAAATAAATTCAAAATTCTGGAAAGCGCATCCTGCATTTGTGCGAATACGTTAATTTTTAATTTTTCAAAGAGACAGACGAATTTATAACAAACATTGCATTCCAAAAAACAGCACAAGATACAAATGACCTGAACGAAACAATCAATCCTCAGGTAATTTCAAACTTCACCCGAGGAATGAACAAAAAACCTTATGCGGCAGCGTGAAGAACTTAGTGAAATCAGACGTTGCGTTGGTACTTCTTGGCACCCTTGAAGTCGGTCATACCCTTGCCAGACAACCCACATGTCCCAACACCAACTCGTCCATCCACAGTTTCGGGGGATCGAAATATTGACTGCTTTGTCACCCCCTTCTTGCTCTTATTTATTGCCTGTAAAAAACATTTAAAGTTTCAGTCACGAACCATCTTCCCTTCGCCAAATTTCATTATTCTGTACATGCTAAAATTTCACTTCCGTCGAGAATAATACAATTCCGTTCACGCATTTTTTTCGGTTTCTGATAAACATTATCTGATCCACCTCCATGAATTTATGCATTCAGTCACGCCATTAAGAGCCGCATCTCTTCAAGGACGTCGCACTTGAAACAAAATTTTGAAGAGAAACCGAACTCACCTTATTTTTGAAAGATAACCACTTGTTCTTGTCAGTTTCTCTGACCTTCTCCAACTCTTTCATCTTCTCTTGCTTCTTCTGCTTCCTCTTCTTAAGGTACTCGCGATGTTTCAGCAAGTCCTCCTTCCTGCAATGCGGAAACATTTTTAATGAATCACATCGTACCAACCTCGGGTTACAAGAGTAACAGGCTACCTTTAAATATAGTGTCCATCATTCCCTCCCACCTCCCAGAGGTCTCGATCAGGTCAACCCATAGCACAAGTCAACCACCAACTCAAATTTGAAGACCAAATTGGTCAACACTTAACACCTTAATGAAAGTAGGTCGAATCATAGCACAACTGAGCAGTGTGATTTCTGACACACTGGTTAGTACCGCACGAAACTTTACCGAACCCTCCCTTCTCGCCCAACAGGACTTGCGGGAAGACAGGCTAGACACCCTTGACAGTGTTGCACAATAGTAGACACGATCATCTGTACATCGGACTCAAGATATCTCAAGAATAACTACTTGTGAGTCAAGCGTAACCAAAAAGAACTCCACTTACTCTAAATCGGCTTTCAGAGAAGAAGCAGACGTTAACCTGATTCGTCTACCTAACAGACAAACGTCAGACTCGTGACAGTGTTGCACGATAATAGATAAGTCCACCATCACAAAGAAGTGGCATGGAGTAGTTCTGTCTACAACTTCTACTCAGGGCTACCTTTTCCACACCACCCCTATGAGCGCCAGCCTCTCCCAGGACCATCAATGACTTTCATTGAATGACTTCAACTTCAGTGCTTTGGAATAGGGAGACTCCCACGGACAAATAACAGCGCACATATACCAACACATTTTTAAAACAAAGAAAACAAATTGTGAATATCCAAATAACATGGCGCAAATTCTATGAATTAAGATATAAATATTAAAAAGTTTTAATATCGAATAAGATTTCAAATCATAAATAACACAGTGCAATGAATAACATGGCATATTGTACACACACAAATTTCGAATATGAAGTCAGTGACAGCGAGGACCACCAGATTTACAAAAAATATTCAAGATGTGAATAAAAATGCAATACTGAATTTATAAATGGGACTTCGTCACTTCATATGATCACTCAAGTACACTACAGTGTGCGGTCTTCCTGCATCCCTTAACATCAAACTCAATATCTGGAAGCATGCGCTGTTCATGAAGTCACTCATTGATGGCATTGAGGGGCGGAGTGGAAGGGAGTAGCCCTCTAGGGGGTAGCTTGTAAGTGAGTGGCGGTGAGTTGAAAAGTGTACCATGAAGTCTAGTTTGAACATCCAAGCTTACGGACTTCAGTTCGAACTGTCGTTTCACAGCGCGCGGACATATTTCCTTGCCCCTACTGCCCTCTATCCTACAAATGTTCTGCAATTCTGACATCCACCAGTGCCACAGGATGCCATATTCGCTGCTTATCATAGGCTCCATAAACCCTGGAAAAGTCAGGAAGAATCTGGAGCCTCCAAGAGGCTGAAAATCATTGGAGTCGCTCAAAAATAATTGTCACTCCAAGTGAGGGCGATTAGCGTGATTGGATTGAGATTTACATATGAATTAATTTTTGTAATTTCCCGATGAACAACATTTGTCAATCAAAACAAATTGTTTCGTGGATATTGACACACTCTGAATTATTTTAGAATTCCTTCTTTTGAATGGAGCCATAAATAATTTCAAGATGATGGCGTTGCTCAAAGTTTATAGAACGGCATGGCGTCGCTCAAATGTAATGCAAGGAAATGAAGTCACCCAAATGTAATAAAAAAAATTAAGTCCCACGGAAGAAAATTTATGGGGCTTTGGTACGCTCAAAGTGATTTTTTTATTGGAGACAACTCGGAGCGACTCAAAAATAATTTTGAGCGATTTCAAGCAACTCCAAGTGGCAACTTGAAGTCACTCAAAAAGGGATAAAACATGGCCACGCTTAGTGAAGGAATAGGGAGGTTTCCCCTGGGCTACCCGAAGTCCCTAAGCTCCCGAACATTGTTAAGGAAACGGTTTCGAACTATTTTTGACGTTAACACACCCACTCAACAAACCATCTATTTCACACGCAGGTCAAACACGACCATCGGTCACACTTCCTCTGAAATATAATTTGAAAGCAAACTGCTTCCGTTAGGTGCCTGAAGTACTGCGTTCCAATAATCAGACATGGTCCAGACTTGAGGAGAGAGTTACAGAAAGACAGACAGACACTCTCCAGTGTTGCACTATTCTCGACACGGTTGTCTACAAATCGGACCAGCCTCTTCCAAGTTCCAACAATTTGCCAATCAATACTGTACCAACAGTAACATCACCAAAGCGCAAATACACTTTTAAAGAGTATCAAATTTATATTTCTCAGGAATGACTTTAATTTTTAGCGCGCAATGCGACATATCAGATCGGATCCGGCAACCTGAAACTACATTTCTTCTGGCAACCCTGTGCACCCTAGAAGTGCTTCTCACACTGCTCCCCTCTGTACAAGTTCTCTGAGCGCACAGGACCCTCACAAAAATTCGTCTAAATTAAATCGTCAGGATTCCTCATCCAAAATCCCAAAAGCAGTGACAACTCAGCACACCTTTGTCATACAACACTAATTATGACTGAGAAAGTCATTTTTTTTACTGTACACGTGGCACTAGACTGATAGATCAGATCCGGCAACCTGGAACTCCATTTCATCTGGCAACCCTGTGCACCCTAGAAGTGCTTCTCACACTGCTCCCCTCTGTACAGTTCCCTGGGCGCACAGGATTTGAAAGTAAATTCGTCTGAATTGTTGATGACAACTCAGCACAACTTGATAATAAAACACTAGTTTTGACTGGGAAAGTCTTCTTTACTGTGCATGTGGCACTAGACTGAAACACACTCTCGCATAAGTGCTTGGATTTCGTCCCATCTCCCGCCCAGACAACTCCAACTTCACACCTTTTCCAAAGCCGCGATTCTTTGCACAAGTTTAACAACCAACTAGGGATTCACCATGTGGTGTCTTACATAGTGAGTTTAACCTTGGATAACATAAATGAAAATCCTGTACATATCTTGGCATGGATGACCGGGTGTATGCCACACTAGCGAGACCCGCAATAAACGAGAGGGGGAACCATCACTCTCTTACAACCATTCCATGGCTTGGGGAAGGTGAGCAGATGTACCGGTTCTTATCGCCACCCGGCCTTCCCTCACCATATGTGCTCTTGTTACACCCTCCCTTCCCACAGTGCACTCCAATAATGTCTAGCAGAGGGAGGGAAGCAAGCAAAAGGCATTCTCATTGCATAGCAAATTTCTTGCTTTTTTTGTTAGGGCCATTGGAGTTGTGGGACTCAAGGGAGAGCAAAGAAGCAGCCTACAGGGCCTGAACATTTAGGCCGCCATCTTTCTCCAAATGAAACATTCTGATTATACTGCCTAAAGCCTACGAATTTTGAATAGAGACTCATTTCATTATCAATTCTTGCAATTCAAAATAGTTCAGCCTCAATTTTCACACCAAACTAACCTAATTATTCCCCACTTCGGAATTCCCTCACTTCTGGGCAGAAAAATTCATAAGCCCTCAAAGATGGATATGAGTACAGTAGAATCTTGTTGCAATTTCTCTTTTAACGTCAAACCTCTCTATAAGTCAAATTTCAAGGGACCAAAAAAAATTGGACTTGAAAGGTTTTGACTTAGGGAAACAAGCATTTTTGTTGTGGGGAAACATTGAGGAATTGCAGGAAATTGTAAATTGTGATATTCTGAAAATCAAATTTCTTCATGAGTTTGACAGGATGCTGAACTTGTAAGCAGAGGTTCATTCGCACGATTAGTCTTTCACTTCCTTTTTTAAGGCTTCTCTCTTTACTGTATCAAGAAATTAATTGCCAGAGGGTCACCGGAAATTTAAGTTGGGAGGTTTTAGAGAAAAAGCATTCAAGTTAGGGAGGTTTCTAATGCATTGTTTCTAAGGGGATTCAGACAGGGACTAGAATATTACGCAGTAATAATAAAGACTATTTCTGTACTTGAAAGTACTTGCTTACATACTTCTTTATCTATTCCTCTAAAGCAGACTTACTCGAATCTATCCACGATTGATATAATCTGAGATAAAGGTAACATTCTCAGTTATTCCCAATAAGGGGATAACATTCTGAAAATCAAATTTCTTCATGAGTTTGACAGGATGCTGAACTTGTAAGCAGAGGTTCATTCGCACGATTAGTCTTTCACTTCCTTTTTTAAGGCTTCTCTCTTTTCTGTATCAAGAAATTAATTGCCAGAGGGTCACCGGAAATTTAAGTTGGGAGGTTTTAGAGAAAAAGCATTCAAGTTAGGGAGGTTTCTAATGCATTGTTTCTAAGGGGATTCAGACAGGGACTAGAAACAAATATGACTTCCGGAGGTTTGAGTAATTGAGGTTCCAACTGCTCAAAAAAAGTACTTATGACAGTCATTTTTGCGGTCCCCTGTTGAATAACCATGATGTGGACTGAGTTACTTGAGAACATTTTTTAAAACAATGAAGTTATTTTACTGCTCCCAATGGATTTGTTGTACAGTACAAAGAATCTACCGTACATCAAATATGTCTAGTTGCTCAAGTCATTGTGTGTCTTAGACTTATACCAAAGCAAGACGGCAAAATGGCTCTTTTCCTAAAATCTGGATAAATCGATATTATTCAATATTGTAGTGTAATTCCCATCCTACGCCCCTTTTTTTTCCGTAATAATTGAGCTGCATTTTTAAAATTGTATCCCAGCGTGAATTCACGAGAAGAGTCACCAAAACCCATACGGTTAGACTTCCTGTAAGAGGCCACCACGAAACTTCGTCGAAATGGGAGAATGGAGCGTTCAAGAAGCGACATCTACACTATCATCACGTATTTTTATTCAAGGATTCTGGGCGTCCATTTCAAGTACTGTTCATTACTGTACTGAATCTCTTTTTTTTCGCGAAATAAAAAGGAACAGGAACTCTTCAAATACCAGCCACAAAGTATTTCCCTTGAGTCAGCAAAATTTTATGAAACTATGGCAATCCGAAAAGGTTTTTTCGGAATTTTTTTTTTACAGAAATCTACCGGTCCGCGGGGCAACGAAGGTTGAGGAACACTGTTCAAAAGTTAAACCCGAATAATAACCGGAAGGTTTCGATAAATTTCAACTCACTGAAGGTCCAGGATTCAAGTCTTTTGAGTTAGGGAGGTTCATCGCATTATTTTTGAAAGAATTCAGAAAGGGTCCAAGAATACCGTACTGTATTCGATTTTTCCGGTGACACTTGCGGGAATAATTGGATAAAAAAAATATTCAACAAAAATAAATCGACTTACTTCATGAACTGCTTCCCCGTTGCTTTCCGCATTTCTTCCTCTTCCTCCTCGGCTTCCAGCCTGGCTCGCATCTCAGCGGGCAGGGGACGTAATTTAGTGACCAGTGTAACATCAGGGGTTCCCCACTTCGGAAACATGATGGTGCAAAGTCCTCCTTCATTCACCTCCTCAATCACAGCCCGGTAAAGTTTCCCACTCCTGAATTCACGGAAATAGTAATAATCCAGTCAACATTAAAACAGTTCGTTCAATGATGCAATCATAACTATTTTTTTTGTACAAAACGCGCTGTGATGAAATATTTGAAGGTACGAAATAATAATTCCGACAAAATTAGACAGTTCGATTCGCGCGAGGCACTCAAAACATTACAACAATACTGGATTCAATATAAGAGACGCAGTGATGATGAAATATGTGAAGGCAAGACAAAATATTTCCATCAACATTAAAACCTTTCTTTCAGGGATTTACTCATAACTTTAAAAAAAAAAAAACGACGCAGTAATTAAATATTCGAAGGTAAGGCATAATGATTCCGTTCACATTCAAACAGTTCGGTTAGCGCTGAACTCAAAACATTTTTACGATATTCAAGATTAAAAAAAGGCCGTGATGACATATTCAAAGGTAAAATATCATAATTCCGTCAAAATTATGCCAGTACGGTTAGCGAATCACTCAAAACATTTCATCAACATTTTATATAATAAAAAAGACGATGTGATGACACACTGAACTCAGTCCCATTTTCGCGTTGAATCGATACATTGAAATAACGATCGTTCGGCGGAAAAGTTATGTTCATATACAGTATTGAGAATTTTTCAAAAACAAAACTCACGTTTTATCTTTTGACCACGGAGCGAGGCACTGATCGCCGCTTTTCCACTGAATTTCGATTGTTCTGAGATCCTCGTCGTCATCCGGAACATAAACATCGTTCTCCTTCTTGGTATCTGCAGTAAAAAAAAAAAAAAACTTTTACATTTAAGCGAATACTTGCAGTATTGAGAAAAAAGAAAGGGGGCACTTACTGCTTTCACGCGTAGTGACTTGGTTCTTTATGAGTTCGGTGGTTAGTTCAATAACTTCCTTCAAATCTGCCTGGAGTTTCAGCAGCTCCGCACTGTCTTTCTCTGCGATCAACGCGGCTTCAACCTGCAATTTTTCAAGCATAAATTTGCGAACAAGCGTGGCGCAAAAAATTGCAGAAACCCTTTCCTCACCTGACTCAACTGAAGCTTATACGTGCGCAAGTTTTCTGCCAAATCGTCAGCCATGTTTTCCACACTCAGATTTCACTTCTGAAGACGTGAAAAAATTGCAAGTATGAGAAATGTTATTTTTTCTGACCAACAAAAGGCGAATAAAAACGGAACAAAACGCATCACAAGTAAAGTTTAATCAGCGTATCACTAACGGCAGATGGAACCAGAGTTCCAAGATCCGTGAACAGAAAAGTTATGAGATGCGGGGGAGTATAATCGACAAGCGGATGTTCTTCTTCGAGATTTACTCCGCTTTTCTTCAGCACAGACGCGGGGTACTGCAAAAAGAAAAGAAAAATAACTTTTTCAATAAACAATTTTTAAATCAAACTCCAGTTTATGCAAAAGCCAACGAATTCAAAAGATAATATAAAGAAGTAATTAAAAAAAGAATCAAAAAATTTTCTGAAAAGTCTGAATAATAATGGCCGTATTCCTAATTTTCTTGAGAATTCTGTAACTCATACTGTACATCCCAAATTTCGTGAAACAAAATAAAATTGTGCCCTAGTTCTGGCCCAACATATTTTTTTAAGGAATAATAATAACTTTTCACAAGTTATACAAAATGCTGAAAAAAATTTTTAGAATCGAAGCAGAAACTCACTTTGAACTCAGCGGGCAATTCGGACTGATTGAGTGGGTAAAGCCGAACGAATTTGAAGCTTTCACACAAAACATAAACCGGTTTCTTCAAGGCTTTCGCAACCAGGCCGATCCCATAAGTCCCAACCTAAAAGAACGAACTGAGATTTCACGAGAGGAACTCAACACCCATGTAAGTATCGAAAAATTACCCACCTTATTGATAATGCCCCCGTTTTCAACTACCCCTTCTGCCCCTACAAGTACTAGATCAACTTTCTCCATGATATATCCGATAGAAGCATCAAGGATTTCGGTGGTAGGTATTCCTAGTTCCGTTAACTCGCTCGCCATTCGATGCCTGCATAAAGAGGAAAATAGAAAGAATAATTCAATAGAAGAGTGTCTAAATAAGTTCATAAAATTGCTCATTCATCAAAGGCTATTTTCGCCGCTTTAAAAATGAAGAACTCGTCCAGATCGTCAGCAATTGAAAACTTCACAATTGAAAAGTCTTACTTCACAGTTCAACCACATCCTGTCTAACTAACCCTAAATTATTGAACTTTTTGTGCGTCTCCATGAATGTGACATAAGGAGGTTCGACTGTATCTAAAATACTTTTTTTTTTTAACGCGGAATATCAAAACGAACACAAATAAATTTACCCAGATTTATCAGGCATTGACTCTGTCACGTACACCTTGAATCGTTTCCCACGCTGCATGGCAAGTTTCAAGGCACGGAAGACATTTTTGGAACGAGAATGCGTCAGAATCGACTGTAAACAATCCAAACAAACGAATCACTGATCAACTATTATGAATAATCAAAAGGCAATAAGGGTTTCTTTCGATTTCGGACGAGGGTAAAGGAACTCACCATTCCATCCGCGATGTGAGAAGTAAGTTCTTCTGCAATGCGACACTTTCTGTGCTCCATTTCCACAAGGTACGATTTCCCGCGTTCGATCATGAATTTCCTGCACTTGCTCATGTCCTGATTTGAATTCAATACATATCGAATGATTTTTGACTCTTTGCAGTATACGGGTGTCCAAAAATTTACTGCAGCGAGGAGAGATATACAGTATATTATATTTCAAGATATAAAAACAGTCAAGCTTTTGTCAATCTCCTGAAGATAGATTTTGAAAATACTCTTTGCGAGAAAGTGGAATACAGAAATCTTCTTACTGCGAATCTCATTAAAACGAATTCTTGGTTTCTTGCATACAAAAAATTAGTCTATTATTCAAATAGCTTTATCCCGAATTAAATCATTACAAAGATTTTTTCCAGGTTCCAAGTCATGCCAACAGCGTCACTGTAACGAGATTTAACTGACTTTGCTCGAGGCAGATCAAAGATTTGGACACCCATGATTCGATCACTCTTTAATCTTGCCTCAAACCTCATCAAGTAAAATTTTTTCAAGCCAAGTCTCTCTCTGAATTCTTTTATAAACAATACATTAAAANAGGAACTCAACACCCATGTAAGTATCGAAAAATTACCCACCTTATTGATAATGCCCCCGTTTTCAACTACCCCTTCTGCCCCTACAAGTACTAGATCAACTTTCTCCATGATATATCCGATAGAAGCATCAAGGATTTCGGTGGTAGGTATTCCTAGTTCCGTTAACTCCCTCGCCATTCGATGCCTGCATAGAGAGGAAAATAGAAAGAAGAGTTCATAAACCAATAGAAACGTGTCTAAATAAATTCATAAAATAGCTCATTCATCAAAGACTATTTTCGCCGCTTTAAAAATGAAGAACTCGTCCAGATCGTCAGCAATTGACAACTTCACAATTGAAAGGTCTTACTTCACAGTTCAACCACATCCTGTCTAACTAACCCTAAATTATTGAACTTTTTGTGCGTCTCCATGAATGTGACATAAGGAGGTTCGACTGTATCTAAAGTACTTTTTTTTAAACGCGGAATATCAAAACGACCACAAATAAATTTACCCAGATTTATCAGGCATTGACTCTGTCACGTACACCTTGAATCGTTTCCCACGCTGCATGGCAAGTTTCAAGGCACGGAAGACATTTTTGGAACGAGAATGCGTCAGAATCGACTGTAAACAATCCAAACACAAAAGAATCACTGATCAACTACAGTATTATGAATAATCAAAGGGCAATAAGGGTTTCTTTCGATTTCGGACGAGGGTAAAGGAACTCACCATTCCATCGGCGATGTGAGAAGTAAGTTCTTCTGCAATGCGACACTTTCTGTGCTCCATTTCCACAAGGTATGATTTCCCGCGTTCGATCATGAATTTCCTGCACTTGCTCATGTCCTAATTTGAATTCAATACACATCGAATGATTTTTTACTCTTTGCAGTATACTGTCCAAAAATTTACTGCAGCGAGGAGAGATATACAGTATATTATATTTTGAGATATAAAAACAGTCAAGCTTTTGTCAATCTCCTGAAGATAGATTTTGGAAATTGTCTTTGCGAGAAAGTGGAATACAGAAATCTTCTTACTGCGAATCTCATTAAAACGAATTCTTGGTTTCTTGCATACAAAAAATTAGTCTATTATTCAAATAGCTTTATCCCGAATTAAATCATTACGAAGATTTTTTCCAGGTTCCAAGTCATGCCAACAGCGTCACTGTAACGAGATTTAACTGACTTTGTTCGAGGCAGATCAAAGATTTGGACACCCATGATTCGATCACTCTTTAATCTTGCCTCAAACCTCATCAAGTAAAATTTTTTCAAGCCAAGTCTCTCTCTGAATTCTTTTATAAACAATACATTAAAAACCTCTCTAACTCGAAGGCTTTGTCCCTCTAGCCTCCTGAAGCCCTATTGGCTATCATTTTATTGACACAGAAAAGCAATAAAAAGTAATTTGAAGTTTTTTTGAAAGGAAGTCAAAACTAATTGGGCAAATGAACTCTTGCTCCAAGTTCGGCATCCCGTCAACTCAATTAAGGCCCAAAATATCCCCGATTACAATTTCCTGGAATTCTTCCTTTTCCAAAAAAAAAAATTGCTCGTTACCCTAATTTACTTCATTGCTGTGACCCTTAGAGTTTGACGTGAAGAGGTTCAACAATTTTTCTCACCGTTCGGTCCATGTCCTTCTTCGTCATGTGCTGCTGGATCTGCTCAAATCCAGAAATTATAGAGGCGACAGAACCTTCCGAATGGGAGCGAAGAGCATTCTCCCATCGATTCAATTCCCGACTCAGCTCCAGAAAAGTTTCAGCTGGAAAAAAAAAACGAAAGCTCAATCAAGAGCCAACAAATTTTCTACACTTACTGTATCTGATGCGTTTCTACGGTAATTATGGCGGAGAAGAAAAAGGAAGGCAATTACTGAACTCGTCAATTTCATCAGACAATCAAAAATGAACAGCTTGAGACGGGGAAAATAGGTTCATATTTTGTAGAAAGTCTTTCTGAGACATGATCAGCCCCAGATTTCCCATGTAGAAAAACTTACGAACAAACGGGAAGAAAAAAAAATCTTCGAACGACTCCATTTCAAATCATATTTGACTGAAAGCGACATCTACCCCAGGAATCAGCGAAAAGAAGTAGGAAAATTCGTCGTACGAATCACCGTACAGTACTAATTTTTCAACTCACGGCAACTTTTGTCAAACAAAAGTGCATGACTTTCGTTTTAAAGTCATTCTTCAAATCGGAAAGTTGTGTAATGTTTCAGACTTTCAGAAAGAAAACACTCACATTCGTCAGATTCCAAGAGCTTGATGACGGTCTTGATCGCAGCAATCGCATCCGAAGGATCTTTTTCCGTTCGCAGAACCTCCACGAAGTGCTTCGCAATATCTGTGAAAACAGAATTAAAAACACACATACGAGGAAAAAAAAGCAAAAACTCATATTACCTTCGTCTGTCATCCGCTGAGTTTTTCTCATGTTTCCAACCACACACGATCTCACTTAAAATATCCTAAGGAGAAGACAACAAAATGCTTTAAAAAAAAAAACCTCTAACAAATCAACGAACACAAGCCACGAAGAAATAAGAACCGCGATTTCATTCCACCGAAAATAAATTCTGACAAAAGCAAGGAGATTGCGAATAACGCTTACCAATTAGGGTAACGTGGACTAAACTAAAAAAAAAAATCCTTCCGAAAATGTGCCATCCGCGAAGAAAAAAGTTCTGATAAACCCGACCATTCTTCAAGAAATTCGAATAGTTTCACTGATCCTTCAAGTCCTCTCGGCAAAATAATGCAACAATAAGATATAAAATAATTATTCTCTTCTCACGCTAAAATAAATTTTCATAATGTTTCTTCAGTCAAAATTTAATGGAGATGAAGATACACTTTTGAATACAGTGGCTTACTGATGAGTGAATGAGTGCCAAGAAACTCTTCCGGTAATACCAACAGTTGAACTGTTTGTCCAAGAGCCATTCAGACAAAATTAGAATCTACAGAGATACGATTTCGGAACATTCTTGTTCATTCAAGTTGAAAACGAGATCTGGCCAGGTCCTATCAAGAAAAAAATGACCAAGTATTTCTCAAGAATTGCATGACTGCTGCACGAAGAGCTGATAAACTGAGAATTTCTCCTGGTAATACAGTATAAGCAATCCTTCAGTCACAAAAAATTTGAAGAAAAAGCAATACCTCAAATAATTATTCTTCACGCTGAAATTGAAACACTGCCAACTTCCTAAAACAACTTAATAGGAAGAATTAAAAATGAGAAGCTGATGCGTAGATGAACAACTGCTGAGAGACGGTAAATTCTTCCGGAACACTTCACCTGCTGCGTGGAGTTGTCTCGACAAAATAAATTATTTCAACAGGAATATCTCGGAAAAATTATTTTTCCATGCTGAAAATAAGATATTACCACGTGCCTCCGATGAAAAAATAATTGAGGTTTTCAAATAAATGTCAGAACCGATAATACTGTTCATCGAGAGGACGTTTCTACGTTTTTACGAACACGTCAAGTTTTTTTTTCCGACGCCTAAAAAAATTCTTCAAAAAAGTACAAATGATGTTCCAACGTGTTTTCCCCATTCGACACACACACACATACATTCACATGGCTTTCTCACGACAGCGATTTCCAGTATGCATAAATCGAACATTTCACAGCATGATACAACATATTCTTGACTTGAATCTTGTCTTCGTGCGAACTGTGATCCCCGGTGAGTCGCCGAAAGTCTCTCATGAGATCAAGGCACTGAAACAGAGTCTCCGGCGACACAAAGTCCTCAGCCACTTTGACGCAGTTCATCAAATTGCGGACCTGATGCGGCGCCCCGGCAGGGATAAAAACGGCGTCCCCGAGGCACTGCACAAACGCATAGCCCTTGACTCCGTACTCCTCACGCAATCTCCGACGCATTTCGTGGTCCATGTAAGTGCTCTGGTCGTGGATAGGATCGCAGGTCATGGCGTCTTTCACGTTGCGACTAGCCATGTCTTTCCGGAGCATGTCGCGGATCTTTTCGGCGTCCCTGGCCTCGTAGATGTGCCACAGGGCGCCGGGGCGACGACCGGCTTTCTGAATGTCGTGCAGGATCGTTGGGTCGCACACGGCTCGAATTGCAGCATCATTCGCTCCTGTCACGTTTTTTTTTTCAAAAGGAGAAATTTGGATCAAATATTAAAAATTCAATGCAGTGAGTCAGTTCATTCCCGTCAATTTTCCTAATTATAAAGACTAATGCACTCTCGGAAGTGCGGAAAGGTTTTGAATTGTATGTAAGGTGTACAATTTACACCCACGTGGTTCATGTAAATTTATGTTACAACGAATTTTCTTCTTAGTTCCCGGCAGTTTATCCATAGGGACAATGCCATTAAAATTTAGTAAGAACGAACAAATTTTCTTCTACAACGAATTTTAAACTTTATTACATGAGCAAGGACCATAGGAATTTCTACCAATCGGCACAATACGGGCAAACCCAGCTTCAGCATGAATGAAAAACCTTAAAAAATAAATAAATGCTACATTTTTGTGCAGAAAATTTAGCAGCGCAGGAAGAACTTTAATTATATTTTTACGTCAATATTTATGTTTATTTTGGACTTAATAAATGGCTGATTTAAAGTTAGGACGTTTTCAACGGATGCTGCTCTATTTCAGTGAAAATACATTCGTTAATGGATAAATGCTATTCAGATTCATTTTTTTCGGCTTATACTTCAGTGTTATTTTCAGGGAACGTAAAGAACACGGAAGGTCTGAAAAAATAAAGGTACAGGTACTTTACAATTTGAATCTTCTCTATTATTTAATCAAAAGAAGTTGGAAATGCTCGCAATTATCCCCATATCTACTGTGGAAGTACTTCTTAAAGGCAGTTATTACCTGTTTCTCATAAAATGTCAGTCCTACATGCTCGGAGTACCAAGTATCTCTTTACAACGCATATTTTCTCGAGGCCCCGGAAGTTCGTTGTGAAGAGATTTTCCCGCATTTCCATTTCTGTTAACCCTTTTTGAACAGGGTTTCCAATGTTTAATATTTAATTACACGCCGTATTTCATTATTCCGACAACAACATCTGGTCATTGGTTAATAGAAATAATTGACAATGAAAAATTTCTCTAAAATACGTGAAGGTCTAATCGAAATTCTCCTGAACTCGCACTATTTTTTTTTCTCTTCCGTCGCTGTGATTTTTGAAAGAAGAAAAAAAACCTTACAATAATTCAGTTTAAAGAAGGTGTTTCCCAAGACTCACGCAGTAAATCACTGTCTTCGTCGCTGCAAGCCCCGACATAAACCATCACATTCGCGGCATCAGACACGTCCAGATGCAGATTCGTAGAGCTAATAGTAGGCAACAAAGCACTGCCGTAAGCCACGTACATTTTAGGCCCCAAATCCGGTGGAAGGAACAGGTTTGGCAAGTAATGCGCCATGTTGAGTTTCCCGACTCGATTTGTGTAGTCGCCTAACGGGAAAGCCGCCATCACGTCGTCGTACCACGCTGGTAAAGCCGACTTGAAGTCTTCTCCAGGCGGCCAGTCTTTCAGCTTCAGTTGCATCGGCTTGTTGGCAGAGTCCACCGGTCTCTCTGGAATATACATTCGCCATCACGTGAAGGAACATTTCTAAAGAATTTTGTTGCCAGAAGCAAATTAGGTAGATCCAAAACACCAAATTTCGATGAATAGCACGGACAATAAAAACGCTTACTAGGATGGGCAACAAACTTCGATTTCTATTGCTTAGTCAAGTGGTTGTGAGATAGAAGAAGAAAAAAACGTACAAGTTAGGTGAAACCCGTTTGAGATTAAAACACGGGTTGTATCAATTATTTCATTGAAAAAAATAATAATCCGGCCAGATATAATTTCAAAAGCTATTTGGTCATGGAAAAATATATAATTGGAAAATGCGGCGTTTATGGTGTGGAAATTCAAAAAAGATTGCTTAAATTCTTGAAAATTATCTTCAAGTACAAACTTGTGGGTTGCTAAAGAACTTCATATGCATCAGATTGATTCATAAATTAATAAGTTGAAGATTTTTTCTGAGTCATTCGAGAGCGAATTTTAAACGAAGATCTTTTCTCTGAATCAGAAAAGCTGGATTGAATAATTTTAGTCACCGGTGCTCGAGTTAGAGAAATAAGTATTTCCGCAGGGGGAAAAGAAAGAAGAATCATAGGAAATAAAGATATAAGACATTCTGGACCTTAAATTGCATCCTAAATGAGTTGACAGGATCCTGAACATGGACTAGGCAAGGGTTCATGTGCGCAATTATTCTTTCACTGCCTTTCAAACCCTATCAAGTTGCATTTTTATTGCTTTTCTCTTTCCTGTGTCACAAAAATAATAGCCAAAATACCTCTAGAAAATTCGAGTTATGGGGGTTTGACGAGGAAAGCCTTCGGGTTAGGGAGGCTTTCGATTCATTGGTTTTAAGGGAATTTGGACAGGGATCCGAAAAAAACAAGATTTGACACATAAAGGTTCGAGTTATCGCGATTCAACAGTAACTCACTTCGATAGTCCATGAAGCCATCCCAAAATACATTCATGAATTGATTATTCCACACGTCCCCAGTGATGGAATTGATCAGATCCACGTGCTGAGTCCCAAATTCCTTGTTGAAGGAATGCGGTGTCCACATATCCTCTTTCATGAACTTGAGCACCCCTGTCACCATGACGGGTTGACCTCGTTGCCACTCTTCTTGAAACAGTCGCATCTTCTTCGCCTTGTCCTCCATTTCACAGGGCAAAGACACCATGTCTCCACCACACAAAAGAGTGCAACCCGGGTCCAGGTGTCTTTCGTTCTCCAAAACCCATGTTCGGTGTTTTCGAGACTGTTTGGAGGCTTCGGGGGGCTGAGAAAGAACTTTGGCAGCGTGGTAAATCCCGAGACTCCTCAAAATCTCCTGATTCGCAGCTTGTGGCTCTTCGTTTCTCAAATAACCCACGTCTTTGTGACTCGCAAACCTGTCGACAAGAGAAAACACGAAATTTCAGTCACTTTTCACAGAATACCTGAACATAAAAACAAAAACCGGAAATTCACTTCGACAGGTCGGTAACATCAATCGCGATCATTACTTCAAAGAATTTCCAGAACATCCTTTTAGAAACTCCGCGATGCATGATTTAATACAAAGGAGAATGTTTGGGAACCAGTGTTTGCGATCAAGCCCAAAACGAGAAGGACATAAACGTCAATTCCTGGAAGCATGAATCTTGAAATTTCACATATACAGTACATAAAATTCCCCTAAATCTCAAATTTTCATCGAAAAAAAAAAAACTGAAGAGGCTCGTAATTTCAGATGAGAGAATCAAAATAGTTTGCGACTCGAAGTTCCCATCGTAATTAATCCCCTCATACTCAGATGCATCTCAAGGTTCATATTCTCCCGAACCATTCGTTTTTATCTTTTTTTTCTCCCGAACAAAAGGTGATTCGTTTCGAAAAATTCGGACAAAGCTTGACACAACATGAAACTTGATGTTTTACGCGGAATGTAAGTTCTGGGTTGAAGATAAAAAAGGTTTTTTTTTTAAATCTAGAAATACGCCAAAAAATTCAACAGTAGAGACATCCAACCTCCGCTGCAGCCCACAACCACAATTGGCATCAATTCCCCAAACTCTCTCAATCAGATGCATCAAAAGATTAATTCCTTTTACTTCTTCCTAATTTTTTCTCTGATATCATATTTCGAAAAATAGTGGATTCTTTCTGGGAATAACGAAATTTGGCCAAAGCTTGACTTGAAATGAGTAGTGACGCAATAAAAAACTTGATGCTTCATATTTTTGAATTAGGAATGAAGAAGATTTCCTTCAATTAAAAACGCTAAAAGATTAGACAGGAGTGACATCTAACCTCTGCTGCAGGTCACAACCACAGTTGGCATCAATGCCCCAGACTCTCCTAATCAGATGCATCACAAGATTCATATCTTCTAGAATCCTCGCGGGGATGTTCTGCACGATCAGCAACCCCCCAGGCTCATGCGGCCCAAGATCCCCGCAAGGAACCCAGGGTTTCGGCAAAGTGCGAGCATCCGTCAACGCCTCCATCCAGCAGTTGAGGCACACGGCAAACCCACACTCGGAACAGGCAAAGTGGTAATTGAACACAGCCGTGGCGCAACAATCGCACAATTCACGCATGGACTCCGTCATTCGCTTGAACACCGTCGCATCACTGCCTTTGACCCTTTTGTAGCAATCAAAGACCTCCAACTCTTTCTTCACCACACTGCAAAAGGTGTCTCCGCATTGGCTCAGAATGTATTTCGCCGTTTCCACTGAAGTTTCACGCGTGAATTCGCTCTTGACCGGGAGCCAAACCTCAAGATCCTTTTCGATTACGTCGGTGAAAGGGCTGAGAAAGCCCGTGAAATTGCCGCGTGAAATCACGCGAAAATTCCGGAATCGACACACGTCTTTCTTTTGCTGGCTGGAGTAAGTTTCATTCACGCATTCCCGACACAAAGGAATCGCCGTGCAATGTCCCGACTGACATTTCCCCACTCTCATAAACTCGTCAAGGATGTTCAGAGTTTTCAAGTATTCTTGAGTAGACGTGAGATCTTCCAGAGCTCTATGCACCTCACTCATGATGTCTTCTATGGTAGCATCCTTTTTCTCGGGATCCGATTCGTCAAACGAGTCCTGATCTACTTCCATCATGGTGTCGGTTGGCTCGGGTTTCTCACGCGTTTCTTCTTTGGTGTGTCCCAAATCGATTTCTTCGAAACTTTTAGCGCCCATCGGGGAACTAAGGCGGTCCATGTTGCCGACCAATTTCTCGACCAAGCTCACGTCGAGCTTGTTGATGACCAAGCGGAAGGAATTCATGACATCCGCCATCTCCACTGAAAATGATTCACTTCACAAGATGTCGGTCGGTGTCACATAACAGAAAGTATTCGCGATTATTACAATTTATCTTCTTTCTGAAACAAACGAAGCAACCATGAATGCTCAAACTAAAATTAAGAGATTATCAAAAACAGTTCTTCCTCGGTTTTGTTGCCATCACAATACGCAGCTGAGGCAATAATGGCCACACCATTTCTAATTTGATCCCTTCACAAAAATATCAGACCATAAATAAATAATTTATATAATTTTGAATTTAAAAAAAAAACACGATTATCTCAAATTTAAAAACAACCAATCTCTAAAATGGTCCAATACAATACATGAATACAGCCTTTCACGTACTGATTCTTCAAATGGAGAACAAGGGAGAAATAACATAGTTCTAAAATTCAGTTCGCGTAATGATACAGGTGATTTTTTCCTTGGAGTATTTTAGTATTGAAATAAGTTAGGCAGCATTGATCAAGTTTCAAACACTAGGGAAGCTGAGGCTAGCCACTTTGCATCAGCTGAGCGCCTAAGGGGCGAACACAAGGAAAACCTATAAAAAGAATTCCAGAAACAGACTCTAATACGTTGTACTGTACCATACAATCAGAAAAGTTCCTCAATCAACCGGACATACAGTACATGTCTTCAATCCACGTGTTTTTATTCCTTCGGAGACCGAAAATTATGGCTTTTATCCATATAACGGCCGATCAAGGCTTAATAAAAGAAGAAGGAAACAAAGAAAGTACACTGTCAACCCGTACGTCTCAGTATTGTAAAAAAGCTCTTAAAACATTTTCTATGATCAATTGTGTTTCGCAGAATATGTCCTATTCCTGAGAGATGCCAACCTCGACTGTTGGGCACCTTTTCAGAAACAAGCCCCTTTCAAAATCCCAATTTAAGTTTGTTGAGGTTTTATTCAACGAAGAATTATTAAATATTTGTTTTTGATGGTGCGACGGGCAGCACGACGTTATCCAGTCAAACAAGCCCCTCTCAGTTGATGAGAAAGCAACCTTTTTGTTGAAATGTCATTTTACACAACTACAAAGATTCCAGTGAAGAGACACGACGACGGGCGAGTATAAAACAACGAAACACCTGGAAAGATTTTGCAACAAAAAAGGGAGGAATTTGTCCCCAGAAGAGCCAGAATGTCGCACGAGTTACTCTCTTCATATTCCTACGTGGCGCCCATCCGCTTCGGATCCTGCGACGGATAATGAATCCCTGGCCCAAATCCGGCCACCATCGGTGGCGGAGGTAGCATGTAACTCGGGCCAGGTATCATGGCGGCGCCGGGAGGAACAGCAGCAGCAGTAGTTGGTAGCGCCCCAAGGTTGAAGAAATCTGGCGGAGGCAAAGCTGGCGGCAAACCCGGCACGGGCTCCAGAGTCGGCAGTTGCTGCTCCTCGGCGTAAACCGGGGTTTGTTTCGCCTGGGACTTGCCCCATTTGACGGCCAAACGGCGTCCGTGGATGATGACCTTGTTGAAGGATTTTTCCGCGGCGAGTTCGGCGGCTTCGCGGGTCGTGTACGTGATGAAGGCGCACATTTGCTTCGGCACGACAGAGATTGTACGAATCTCACCGTAATGATAGAAATGCTCCCTGAAAAAACAAATGAAAATTTGAAAATTCCATTCAAACAGATTTTTGAATACGATGGACAGACTAAATTTTCCGGAGGCCCCATGCGGGAAACGGTTTGCTAGAACTGTACCTAGAAAAAATGAGTAACTTACCGTATCATCACAATTCCTGTTCAGCTTAAGCTCCAAATGGTTATTTCGACTATCGTGCAAAATAATTTTTTTTTGTCAATTTAAGGCATTCAAATACTCAATTAAGCTGTACATAGCAGCCGAGACAGGCCGAAAGCGATTCAAAAGCCAAGTAATCTATTAAAAACCTAGCGAGACATAAGGTACTTGCGTCTTCGAAAGACGACCGAACAGACTTTTAGAAACAATTGAGGAAAATGTCAGAACGGTAAGGATATTTTTTTTGGATTTGCAGTAAAAGATTCAGAAAAAAGTACTGTCAAAACAGTTGAAAGAAGAGGAAATTACGTCACTCTCGGGGAAATAAGACCCTTTCACAAATTTTTTTTTTTTTACTTCAACGATGTTTACATCAGAAGAGCTTTCTAAGTTGTAAACTTCGAGAAACCGAAAAACTAGCACAATATTTCGTGACTTGATTTTTACATTTCCCCTCCCGATTGAGAAGGAAGGAAATGGCGGCACGCTGTTCTCAAAAGTCAAATCGAACTCTTCACTTTCCTCATCGGAGGTTACTTAGAAGCAGGATATTGAATTCTGATGAACAGGAAATTTGCGAAAGTGTAATCGTGAGCTAGCACGTGGAGAAAACCACGGTCAAAAAGAACCACTCACCGCAATTCCTTCTCTCCGATCTTCTCGCTCAAGTTTCCGATGTACAACGTCGTAACTCCCTTATCCTCCGGAGCCTCAAGTTTGGGCATGGCAGCAGCGCGTCGCATCAATTTATCCGCAACCGGATCATTTACACCATAATACCTAATCAAAATAAATATTTAATCAGCACTGTAAGAGTCAACTTCACAATTTGAAACTCACCGGTCCTTGATGTTCTGGTCGCTGAGAGGATCGTCCGGATCAGTAGGCTGTTCATGCCGGTACGGACATTCCTCACCACGTTTACATTCTCCTTTGACCCAGAAGGAACATATATGAGGTCGGTTGCGCTTGTAATAAGGAGTTGTTCGCGCGAGTTTCATCAACAAGTCGCTGGTTTGTTGAGCTTTGCCTATACTACCGCCTGCCACCGTACCGTCAGTACCTTGCAACTATGAAAGAAAGCCATTTCGTAACGTTGAATATCACTACAACGAACTTTCCGACGATTCCTCAGCATCATTAAGGATGATCATGATCTTTAATGAAGAAAAAATAACTGTAACCGCAAGAAACGGAAAACGTACCTCTCGTTCCACGTTCTGAATGTAGAAGTCCTTATTCACGTCCGACTTCGGTATGTCGTCAGCAAGCGCAAGAGCTTGATCTCGAACTTGAGTTGGAAGGCCGTACTCAAGATCAAGAAGACATGTTTGACATATATTCTTGAGCTTCGCACACGTCTGACACAATTCCGTTTTCTTAAAGCGCATTCTGGAGCCCGGACACCATCGAAATACGGTGAAGGGACGCGTGCAGATTTTACATTCCTTGCCATAGCGTTCTTTAGTCTGTGGAAAATTCATATTAGAAAATCACGAAAAGATGGGCTTATTCGAAGTATTTCTAGACCTACCATTCTGATATACGGATTGTCTCCGAGGCACGTTTGACACAGAATAGGGAATTCCTGGAATTCAAAACGAGTGAGAATCAGACATGTATATAGCAGCACGTTTTGCTTCATACTCACAGCATCTTCCCATCCTTGACGATTATACGTATTTGTACCTTTTGATCCAGCCATGATCGAATTACCTCAACAAAATCACGAGCGATTTCTAACACCAGTGTGCACGCCGTACAAGTCTCGCCTGTAGGTAAGAATATTCCGATACAGTCGCAACTTTCCGAGGGACACGTCCTGACGTAACCCTCACGAGCTAACGAAACGTGAAAAACTAACTTCCAAGTCTCCGAAGTTTGTCTGCGGAAGCACTGGATCTGGGTCGCGTCCGAAATCATGGAATATATCTAAACGATCCCTACTGGTTTTTCATTCCGAGTGGGTAAAAGAGAATTCAATTTTAGTTTAAAAATTAAAAATATAGATGTCGCTCTGTTGAGATTCCCGCAAGTTTATGCACGCCACTTCCTGAGTGACGGAGTATTGCTCATAATTATTTTGAGCAATATAAGCCACTCCAAGACGCAAAAAAATACTTGTACTTATGTTCTCAATTAATTTTATCATCTAGCTGTTTCAAACCCTGAATAACACGATCCAAAGAATTTACAGGATTTGTCCTGCATGTTTGAATTATTGCCAAATATATCCGCGGTGAATAAGAGTAAATTTGAACATAGATGAAGATTACCATCAGTCAGAAGCAGGTATGAGTCATGGCTTTTAAAAATTTGCTTCAACCCTGATAAAAATCAATTAATAAAAAGCAAAAAGGGCAACACTTAAAAAATTTATTTATTTTGTAGTTGAGCTCATTATAGTGAGCAACGGGGATTTCCTCCCCACTTATAATTATATTTGTTTTCAACCCTGATAAAAATCAATTAATAAAAAGCAAAAAGGGCAACACTTAAAAAATTTATTTATTTTGTAGTTGAGCTCATTATAGTGAGCAACGGGGATTTCCTCCCCACTTATAATTATATTTCAAAACGACCAACTAGAATACGACGTATTTAACAACAGTCGTAAGTTTCATGTGTGACAAGAATTACGCACAGAGACGGGGAGAAGACGGTACCCACCCTGTGTAGAAATCCCCACGGTTTGGGGACGGGATAGGCATCAGAGTGGGTTGCTTATTCTTTTATTCCATGCAGAGGAGCATTTTCAGGATCCTCCACCTTGAGGGGAACTATGAAGAATGGGCTGGTTCCAGATAATGTTTGGTGTGGAGGTATTATTGGCCTTGTACCTATGAGACACAAGCTCATCCACCAATCTTCTATTACGGACAGCAGGTTCCAAATGGACTGCCCAGCAGGTAAGTATACAGGCTGGCAAAATGAAGATAGGCATACAAAGACCAGTTTTTACACTGAAGGAGCCAAAAAAGTCCACAAAATGTTGGTGTCAAAAATGTTTTCATCCAGCATATATAGCATGACAGTACTGTAGGAGAGGTGCCATTGGTAGCAGAAATAAAAGGGGAAGATTGTTGACCTGCTTGCTCCCTTGGCAATCCCTGACATATAATATTGTGGACAGTAAAGACACATTCATTGCATCCAGTACATGTGGTGCAACATGCACTCAAAGATGGTTGTGATGGTGGTTGCATGCTTCCAATCCATGTACTGAACACAGATCAAGACATATATCAGGGGTAAAGTCAATCATGAGCCAGAGTGAAGATGCACATGAGATTATCCCATGCTGTAGTTGAGCCTACATATAGGCCCAAGTTGGAGGGTGGTGTTGGCAGCCTGACTGAAACAGCAATGCTGATTCCTACAATTCCCACAATATTGCACATTCTCATAATTCTGACAGTGTTGGAAATTGGCAAGTCTGGAAGTGAAACACTTCCAAATTATCTCCAAGAGTTCTCCAAATTCCCTCCAAACTTGTCCAAATGTAGCCCCAATATTCCAATCCATAATTCCTCAAATGAAAATTATGCCTGCTGCAGTCCAACTTTGGCAAACACTTCTGGACTTCTTCTGATGGAGAAGTTTTGGATGAAAATAGACTTTTGGAGTCATTTTGTACAAAAATTGACTATTTCTTGCTCTCATAGGGTCATGCTGCATGTAAAAAATATGCATGCAGCATTGATGCTAAAAATGTTTTCAGTCAATAACTTTAAAATGCAGTACAAAATAGTTCCAGAGTTCATATTATATTTCTCCATATTCTTCACATTCCTCTCCAGCAATTACATGAAACTCAAAAACATTGCTCATTGCATGGTGATGCATGCCAATCATCTTAGAGACAAAAACAATAAAATACATCATCNGCATCATTAAGGATGATCATGATCTTTAATGAAGAAAAAATAACTGTAACCGCAAGAAACGGAAAACGTACCTCTCGTTCCACGTTCTGAATGTAGAAGTCCTTATTCACGTCCGACTTCGGTATGTCGTCAGCAAGCGCAAGAGCTTGATCTCGAACTTGAGTTGGAAGGCCGTACTCAAGATCAAGAAGACATGTTTGACATATATTCTTGAGCTTCGCACACGTCTGACACAATTCCGTTTTCTTAAAGCGCATTCTGGAGCCCGGACACCATCGAAATACGGTGAAGGGACGCGTGCAGATTTTACATTCCTTGCCATAGCGTTCTTTAGTCTGTGGAAAATTCATATTAGAAAATCACGAAAAGATGGGCTTATTCGAAGTATTTCTATACCTACCATTCTGATATACGGATTGTCTCCGAGGCACGTTTGACACAGAATAGGGAATTCCTGGAATTCAAAACGAGTGAGAATCAGACATGTATATAGCAGCACGTTTTGCCTCATACTCACAGCATCTTCCCATCCTTGACGATTGTACGTATTTGTACCTTTTGATCCAGCCATGGTCGAATTACCTTAACAAAATCACGAGCGATTTCTAACACCAGTGTGCACGCCGTACAAGTCTCGCCTGTAGGTAAAAATATTCCGATACAGTCGCAACTTTCCGAGGGACACGTCCTGACGTAACCCTCACGAGCTACCGAAACGTCAAAGAACAACTCCCAAGTCTCCGAAGTTTGTCTGCGGAAGCACTGGATCTGGGTCGCGTCCGAGATCATGGAATATATATAAACGATCCCTACTGGTTTTTCATTCCGAGTGGGTTAACAGAGAATTCAATTTTAGCTTAAAAATTAAAAATATAGATGTCGCTCTGTTCAGATTCCCGCAAGTTTATGCACGTCCCTTCCTGAGTGACGGAGTATTGCTCATAATTATTTTGAGCAATATAAGCCACTCCAAGATACTTGTACTTATGTTCTCAATTAATTTTATCATCTAGCTGTTTCAAACCCTGAATAACATGAACCAAAGAATTTATAGGATTTGTCCTGCATGTTTGAATTATTGCCAAATATATCCGCGGTGAATAAGAGTAAATTTGAACATAGATGATGATTACCATCAGTCAGAAGCAGGTATGAGTCATGGCTTTTAAAAATTTGTTTCAACCCTGATAAAAATCAATTAATAAAAAGCAAAAAGGGCAACACTTAAAAAATTTATTTATTTTGTAGTTGAGCTCATTATAGTGAGCAACGGGGATTTCCTCCCCACTTATAATTATATTTGTTTTGCTGGTTGATCTTATGCTGCATAAATTGTTGTCAGCATTCAAAGTACACACTGTTCTTAATGCGTGTCTCTGCCCCTCTTCTGCCATGGGTGGGACACATCTTTAGGGGTGCCAAACCCCTGTGGGGATAGGCATCAGAGTGGGTTGCTTATTCTTTTATTCCATGCAGAGGAGCATGTGAAGGATCCTCCACCTTGAGGGGAACTATGAAGAATGGGCTGGTTCCAGAGAATGTTTGGTGTGGAGGTATTATTGGCCTTGTACCTATTTATGAGACACAAGCTCATCCACCAATCTTCTATTATGGGCAGCAGGTTCCAAATGGACTGCCCAGCAGGTAAGTATACAGGCTGGCAAAATGCAGATAGGCATACAAAGACCAGTTTTTACACTGAAGGAGCCAAAAAAGTCCACAAAATGTTGGTGTCAAAAATGTTTCCATCCAGCATATATAGCAGTACAGTACAGTACTGTATAGGAGAGGTGCCACTGCAATAGCATAAATAAAAGGGGAAGATTGTTGAACTGCTTGCTCCATTGGCAATCCCTGATATATAACATTGTGGACAATAAAGATACATTCATTCCATCCAGTACATGTGCAACATGCACTCAAAAATGGTTGTGATGGTGGTTGCATGCTTCCATTCCATGTACTGAACACAGAACAAGACACATATCAGGGGTAAAGTCAATCATGTGCCAGAGTGGGGATGCACATGAGATTATCCCATGCTGTTGAGCCTACATATAGGCCCAAGTTGGAGGGTGGTGTTGGCAGCCTGACTGAAACAGCAATGCTGATTCCTAAAATTCCCACAATATTGCACATTTCCACAATTCTGACAGTGTTGGAAATTGGAAAGTCTGGAAGTGAAACACTTCCAATTAATCTCCAAGAGTTCTCCAAATTCCCTCCAAACTTGTCCAAATGTAGCCCCAATATTCCAATCCAAAATTCCTCAAATGAAAATTATGCCTGCTGCAGTCCAACTTTGGCAAACACTTCTGGACTTCTTCTGATGGAGAAGTTTTGGATGAAAATAGACTTTTGGAGTCATTTTGTGCAAAAATTGACTATTTCTTGCTCTCATAGGGTCATGCTGCATGTAAAAAATATGCATGCAGCATTGATGCTAAAAATGTTTTCAGTCAATAACTTTAAAATGCAGTACAAAATAGTTCCAGAAAAGTATAATATAAAGAGGTATAAGAAGTGTAAGGAGAGGTCGTTAATGTACTTTGAGTTTTTGTAACGAGTAACGTACCACTACGTACGGTTAGTAGAATCTCTGTTTTTGTTATTTTATGTAGTAGTCAAAATGGAATTCATGACTTCAAAAACCAAGATTTGGTTGAGCAAATCCGGCACTTGGTAAGAGCACCAACAGATGCAATATTCTTGCTGGGGGAGCACTTGCATGACTTTGGCATAAAAATTGGTCCATCAAAAAAGTGCATGGTAAGTATAATTTCTTTTGCGCTATGATCTTGAAAAATACCTATGCAATGAATGCTGATCACAATATCAACCTGAGGTTTCATCTTCAATACTTTCCTCTTTACAACAAACATTCTGCTTCTCTCCACCATCATCCACACCATCAAAAGGGATTTTGGTTTTGGGGATCAATAAACTACCTGATGATATACTGCTGGAGCTAGGTGACTCACATGATAATAGATAAGGCACAATGTTTTCCACTGGTATTTGCCCCAAAAGAGGAGAGAAAAACAGTTGATGCACAACTTCTGGGTCCACCATTCTCAGGTCAGAAATCATCACCAGCAAGTCTGAAACTTTCTTCATGGCTGAATCAGGGCTGTTTTCAACCTGTTTGACTTCATGCAGGTGTAAACCCTTGAGAGCAGCTTTCCTCAGCAAGTCCACTGAATTTCTGTCATCCTCCAACACCATGGAAGCTATAAATCATGATAAAAATGAAACACATATTTATAAAAAAGGGGGCTGTGTTAATTACAATTTGATAATACTCTACCTGGGGTGTAAGTTGTCAGTATTCTCAGGTAGTCATACTCAATGGCATCAGGGGCAATTTTCTTCAAGCTTCTCATCAATCCATGTAACTTCCACAAGCTTTCTGCCAGCTGAAAAGTAATAATTAATGAATCATCAAGATGTACATTTTTTGAACTTCTCAAATGGATTAACTTGCCTCAATAAACTTGTCAGAATCATCTCCAGAAATGACACTACTCTGGTGAATAAGAAGGCGTGCCACAGTTGGAAGCAATAAGTCTGCAGGGTTCTTTTCATCCCCTGAGTCACTCCCTTTGGAAGACATCACTTGGGTGACACCTATCAGGAACAAGGGACACCAGTTGCCCTGCACTAGTGACACCTGATTCTCAACACTGAAACATAAGTATTCATTAAGGATATTTTAACTCACTTCAGGAAGATCAGAGAGCAAACCTCATTGCAGAGAAGGAGGCCAAATTGGCAAGCCACTGGACAGAGCAGAACAGCAGCCTGGAGGAGCACTCACAGATCACATGCAAGGCATTCAGATATAGAGACTGGTGACAGGAATCATTTCTGTCATTGTCCATAGAAACTGCAGGGCTTCTCAGGGCATCAGTGTTTGCCCAAGAGCCCTGGAACACAACTGACCCAGTGAAGGCAGTTGAGCCTTCATCCAAAAATTTCAGCACTTCTTCAGGTTCAATTTCCATGTCCTCAATTGGCAAATCAGTTTTAATAACTTGCTGCTGCAAACAATTCAAAAGAGGGGAAGTCTGCTTTTTTACTTGAACTCAAGTAATAATTCCAACATTTTTCAACATTTCTATTTACTTTTGGCTTGTTAAGGATCTCAGGGAATACTTTACACAAGTAAAAAACACCAAGGAGAAATGTTTATACAGTATAATCATATGATTAAAGATTGAAAAAAACATGGCTCAATTATCTTTGCACTAACTCATCAGAGATGAATAAATTCCAGGATTTAAAATCAATATTTCTTCACATTTTTTTGAATTTGGCAAACACAAACAAGGGCTAATCTTTTGCAGAAATTCCTTGCTGAATTTTCAACCTTTTCCTCACTACATTTTTAACCTGCTGCATTTGAAAATTTGCACCATTTCTCAAAAAAGTATATAGTACAGTTTCTCCAAGAGGCCTATACACAGATCATGTAGATTTTTTAGAACATTTTCCTTATACTGTACAAACTAAATCAATCAGAAATATAATTACTCTGACCCAGTTTTGATTTAACAAAAGATTTCTTGGAATTCAATTCAAAAATGTATCCAAAAATGACATATGAATTCTTCACTTCATATCTTCAATCAATTTTTAGGATATAAGTGTGTGAATCCTGATTCAGTCAGAATAATTTACATTGTGATCAAATGCAAAACTTTCTAAAATATGCAGTGTAAAAATTGGAAAATCAGATGAAAGATACTAAATTTCTTACAATTAGGTCAAGATACCCAACAGCAGCAGCTACACTTGGTATACAACTGGAGACCTTTTGTCTGGCTGCCAGACTGTGTCTCCTGGGGTTGTTGTTGGGGTCAATCACAGGGTTGCCAATTCCAGTCCCTGATCTGTGCCAATGCTCAGACCTTTCTTTGCTAATTCCAGGACTTTTCTTGTAATCTAAAGCTTCTTCTTGTCCAACATCCCCTTCATGTAAGTTGGTGTCATTGCTGAAGTCAAATTTGTCATTCTCCACATCTGCACTCAGAGGTTCATTCCTGTCACCATCTGAGGCCTGGTCACTATTGTCCAAATTTCTCTTGTATCCTGAAAAGAAAGACCCTTCCAAAGTTATATTATTGGCATAATTGGTACAGTATTGTAATACTCACTTGGAGTTTTGGTGTGTGAATGAGTGAAGTCAATGACAGTGTCAGGACTGTCCAGCACAGTTTGAGGAGCACCTCCTGAGCTATAAACTGAGAATGGTGAATCAGGAGCCACAAACTCAGATTTCACAGAAGCTGGTGATGGGATGTTAGAGGTGCTGTAAGAACTGGTTCTGCTGGTGGCACCTTTGCTTCTTCCACCATTCCCTTGACTCTCCACCAAAGGCTTCCTTTCTGATTGCACAGCTGTCATACACAAATTATAAAATACACAAATATCACCATGAGCCTGTACATTAAATGAATCAAGTCTTACACCTACAGTCACTGCGCATGCCCATGGCCAGACATTTCCTCAAGCGACAGAACTGACATCTGTTCCTGTGATGCTTGGTCACCTGGCAGTCCTTGTTGCCTCTGCATTGGTATCCAAGTTGCTTCCTGATGGACCTCTTGAAGAATCCTTTGCATCCTTCACAGCTCACTGCACCATAGTGCCTCCCTTTCACATAGAAAACAAAATCAAAATGTCTGACTTCAAGAATTCATTCCCAATTGTTAATACTGTACAAAAAATAGGATCAGGTATACTAATGTAGAAATATTTGAATAAAAAGTTTTTCTTCATGCTAAATAGGAACCAATCATGCATGTCCATGAATCCAGCAAATAAATTAAAATTGATTAAGAATTCAGTGGATAGATTCTCACTTTGTGAGAATAATAGCTTGAATAAGACAGCATCATGTGCCTTTTAGTATTTATGAAATTATTCAATTCTTATATAGTGGGGTTTGAAAAAGTTTATGAGCCAAAGAAGTGAATATAAAGTATATCCTGACCTGATGCCCTGTCACCACAGACCACACACAAGTCATAGGCAACAGTATTTGGTAGTCCAAACACAGAGTCCTTATTGGACCCAGAAAGGCCATTGCCAACAGCTGCAGCAGCTGCTGCTGCACTTGCAGCACCTGGACTAGGACTGCCATTAAGGTACCCAGTACTGGGCCAGGCAGTCATGCCAGTGGGGCCTGGGGTCTGCATGGGCGCTGAGTAGCCCATGCCCTGCATTTTGTCCATGGTTAACCTGAGTTTCTTGGTCCAGTAATTGGAAGCTGTCTGGGTGCCCATTCTCACTGACCTGGAAAGGCAAGGAGGCATTTTATACACACTCCCCATCTGAGCAAAAATGAAACCAGTAGAATAAACACTGCCTGTGTTCCAGCTGGCAGAGGAATTGATTACACACCATGGAACACACTGCATTTTCTGCCTTAATTCTGCTCACTTCCTTCACCCACCAGAATGGGGTTGTGTGTCAAACTTTCTGATTGATTGATCCAGAGAGGAAAATATATATCACTCTTTCCAGCCAAGCATGTCATTTTATTATTAACGCTCTTCCTTGCAATTTTTTTGTACAAAATTACAAGTACTGTACAATTTTTTTTACAATTAGAACTACAATTTTTTTATATAAAACTTTGAATACTCTTTTAAAGGTCGCACAATTGCTCTCCAAAGAAATTCTCTTTAAATGAGACCACAATCTCTGAGCAAAGTTTATTAAAGGACTGATATATCAATTTTCAGTCCTTTATGTTTGGTGTGACAAAAATGGGGTCCTCCAATTGAATAAATTGTCCAAAACATTGCAAAAAAGTCCATAAGAATGAAAGTACTGTGATTATACCCAGAAGAAATTCCTTTACTTACTAATCAAATGTTTCTGTCAATCACATTCATTTTCACAATGTCCTACAAAATTCCAATAAAGCTGAACTAATTTCAACTTTTAAGAAAACTGTTTTCTGGCAACGAATTAATCAGGAATGTTGGCCATTTTGGGAGGACATTCCATGGTATCCAAAATCCATGTCCACAAATACAGTATTATCAAACCCCACAGGTTCACATTCTTGTACAGTTTCTGTGAACCAATGATTACCCATATTTATAGAAAATAACTTGCCAATGAAATCAGAATGTAAGTTGAAGTAAGACAAAGAATAAAGCAATATACTGTATTAAGAAAATAATGAGGAAATAGGGAAGCTTACCCAAAAGCTCCAGAAGAGAAGGCAGCATTGGCCTGATGAAGCAGGAATACAGGATTGGAAGCAGCAGCTTGAAACATGGAATGTGCTAATGCTGCAGCTGGATAAGAAGAATCCAAACCCACTCCAGTGGGTAGGTTATATCCTAGTCTTGAATCCCCAAACCCCTTCAAGTCATCCCCTGGAATCAAAACTGAAAACTCAACACAGGGAATTTTTTTTTTCAAAGAAAATTAAAACCCACCTTCAACCTTTAGTCTCTTGGGTGAACTGGGAGGAGTGTAAGAACTTGGACAAGGGGAATGACTTGCTGAAGAGGTCATGTCTCCTGTTGAAACCCCTTCTTGTAAAAAACAACTCTAACTCATTCTCAATGAAAAATATCTAAAAATTTTCCACAGAAGAGAAAAACAGTACACAATCAACACTCAATAATGAATGACATCATGCATAAAAAATGAATTTTCCAAGCATGATTGACAAGGATTCCAAGAAAGCCTTCAAATTGCACTCAAAAGTCCTTCAGAAATTCTGAAAGTCACTCAGAATTTTAGAGACTCTTCCACCATCCTCAAAATTTGAGGTAATGTAGGTCATGGAACCAAAAAAAAAATATTGTACCCAAAATTATATTATTGCATCAAAAAGGTTTTAAAAAAATAATAACCCATGGATGACACCTGAATGCAAATTCTCCAAACAAAGATTAGCAGCAGCAGAGCAGTCTTCAATTCAAATTGGCTTGAAACCTTTTGCAGATCACTCACAGATTATCAAGTAAATACACATACCTCATTCCATTAGACAGGAATATATTCAGGCATCATCTGCTGCTTTCACACTTCTTTTTAGATGAAACTCTGTTGGAATATTTAAAGAATACTGCAATTCACTTAGGGCTTTTGCAAACATTTGTGAAAATTCTGATAATCTGGATTCACACACAGGAGTTAGTTTTACAGTGATTTAATTGTATTATATAAATAGTGTGAGAATACAAAATTACCAAGGAGTGCAAAAATCAAATATGTCCACTTTTTACACTTTTTTGTTACAGAGAGATAAAATCAATTATTGGCGTTCTTATAGAAACATGCCTTTTTGAACATTAATTATGGACATCAGCCTGTCACCTATGTTGGAAATGAAATGAGCCATCAATTTTTTCAAGATTTTGAGCTTATTCAACCTTTGGCCACATAGTTCTCAGCAATTAGCCCAGTTGGGCCAGTAGGTTTACTTTGTGAGCGACTGCAGTTTGTTGCTGATTCAGCAGCACTGAAGCAATCACCGCGCAGACGGAAATTAGTCAGAATACATCAGGCAGCAGCAGCAGTCCATCGTCACCATCACAAAGGTGCTCAAAAGAAATCGCAATTCCGACACCAGAGTCAATAACCAAAAGTAAAAAATAAAAAGAATACGCTAATAATCCAAAACGGCGCACGTTTAAAATACATTTTAAGAAAGTAATAAGAATATGTGTATAACCAGAATAAAAGGGGATTGGAGCAGCTGGAAAAGCAAGCGCAAACACCCAACCGAAATGATGTTCAAACAACCCAACCGAGCGCGTCTCTGTCCCTCGGTTTGTTCGCTCGGTACGCCCCCCAGCAGCGAATCAGAGAGAGAGATAGAGAGACACACACGCACGCACACACACACACATGCGCGCACACACATACACACACAGTCACACGACACTCTCCCTGAAATCACCGAGAGAGTGGGTGTCGCGAGAATTCTGTCGTACCGGACAGACGAGACACTCGCGTACCGTGCTTTTTTCTTTCTGTTTTTTTTTTCTTCTTTTTTTGTGCGCAAGGATGACCATGGACACCCGGCGTCCGCGCCAGCGCTCAGAGGAATGAAGCCCCGATTTCCTGCTTTCCTTGCCCCCATCTGAGGAAAAGCTGGACTTTTCCTTCATTCTCTTCATTTTTTCTTCTCCCTGATTTCTTCTTCAGTGATAAGCGAGGGCGGGCTGTCATGGCGGCGATGGTCCGATGACCGCCAACGGTGCCCGGGCAACCAAGCATCTCCCCAATTATCCTGTATTCAACCTTGCAAAACATATATCCTGTTGAGCATGAGCTCCATCTTGATGGATGCGATCGGCATTCCATTAAGATGCTGAACTGCGAAGTATAAGTCTTCATCTTGATTCTGGAACGCATAAAAGCATCAGTCACAATGGATCAAGGAAATATGACAAATTGAAATCAGCAGTGTGTTTACAGTACTCCAAAGATTTTTCTTGGTCTCATTTGGAAAGGACTCATTTGTAGCACTATCAAATGGATAGAAATCAGCTTAAGAAAGATTTAAAATTACTGAAATGCAATGAAGAGACACCTTCTGAAATCTTAAAGGATCAAGATGCATTTTTGGTCTTATATGATTTCTCATCAAAAATTATCTCTAAATTGTTCATTGAACTAAAACTCATACAGAAACAAGTTGAAGACCTTGTGCTTTAAATAAACTTTTACTGCTGCTCTGTCTTCAATATTGGGGATGGGTGGGTGTATGCAGCATACCTGTAGGATTTCCAGTTTTATTTTGTGGAGTGTGTTCTCTTTTGTTTTTGCCATTGGTTTGTGCTTTATTTCATGGTTTGAATTGATTGAATGTCTTTGGGGGGAGTTGGGTTGGGTGGGGAGGGGGTTTGGATGTGGGAGTCTTGGTTGCGCCTTGTGAATGCTGAAAAGCGGCAAATAATGTTTTCTGTTCATTCATGTTCATTCATTGTAGCACTAAATCTATCTGCAACATAGGTTTTGCTTGTATTGGATTATTTTTCAGCATAATAGCCATTAAAGAGGCAAAGTTTCAGTCCTACAAAGTGCATTTTTTGTGACAAGGGTTTTTTACATGCCCCAAGAAGACTGTATACCCAGTACTGTACTGTACTTGAAGATTTAAAATGTCATCCTGTCAAAGAAAAATCTAAGTCACCTTTATAAACACAGGAGAACAATTGATTCACAATTCAAAATAACTTCAAGAATTTTATTGCTTCATCCACAAAAACTTTGATTCCAGTGCCTTTTTGACTATAAGTCACCCCTGATGAGTCATCTGAACCTGCAACACTTCAAATTTAGGATCATTGAGCACTTTTCCTTCATTTCCCTGATGTTTTTAATCTTCTATGGCTCTATATATACTGTATATGCAAAGGAATTGTACCATTCTACAAAAATTGGTTCAAGGATTTTTGGAGGAAATTCATCTCAAAGGTTATATGGAACTGATTGGTATTCATTCAGCTTTTCATAATTTAGTCAAGTGATTTTTTTATGAAGGGTTGCAATCATTAGACATTCAGGAGATGTACATCACTAGGTTGATGGATTTTTCAGATAATGGACTATTAGCATGAATCATGTCCATTAACTGGAGGACCATGTGTGTTACAGTATATGTACAGTGCCTTATTCTTCATAACATCAGTAAACATATTATTACATGAAGTTCATTTTGAGCCCTGAGAGAAATGTTAGTCATTGAAAAGTTTTTACATCAAAACAGGTCATACAACAAGAGTTTAATACTTTTGATTTAAACAATTCTATTGAGCAGAACACCAACCAAAGAGGGTTGAGAATGCTGCTGCTGCTGGTGCTGCTGTTCCTTGCTGATGATGACAAGGTTTTCCTTTCCCACGACAAAAATCTTTTCATTCCATTAATTTTTTTCCTCTTTGCTTTTTCTTGTCTTATACTGAGCAGGGAGATTAATTGCGGATTGCGGCCAGCCGGGTGGAAAGTTGGACACCATGGGCAAGAGGGGAAGACAACGGCACCAGCACCACCAACAACTACCAGCTGTGGGTTGCGTGTGGACACCTTACCCTCTTCTGGAATGCTTAGAAACAAAACAAAAACCTGTCACTATCAAAAATTCTGCCGAACAAAACAAAATCTTTGCCAGATAAGAGAGAAGAAGAGGCAAGGAGGGGGAGAGACTAGGAGAGAAAGAGAGAGAGATACAGGCAAGGAGAGGGATAGAGAGAAGGATATAAAGAGAGAGAACACGAGAGACAAGGAGAGAGCAAGAGAGACAAGGAGAGAGCAAGAGAGACAAGGAGAGAGCAAGAGTAAGAGAGAGAAGAAGAGAGATAGAGAGAGAAGTACAAAGAGATAGCAAGAAACATGGAAAGACAGAGAGAGACATAGAAAGACAGAGAGATACATAGAAAGACAGAGAGAGACAAAGAAAGACAGAGAGATACATAGAAAGACAGAGAGAGACAAAGAAAGACAGAGAGATACATAGAAAGACAAAGAGACATATATAGATACATAGGAAGACAGAGAGAGATATGTATAGATACATATAAATACATAGAGAGATATATAGGTACATAGAAAGACAGAGAGACATATATAGATAGAAAGACAGAGAGAGATGTATAGATACATAGAAATACATAGAGAGATATATAGATACATAGAAAGACAGATACTGTATATACATAAATACATATGAAGACAGGGACATTCAAAGACAGGGACATTCAAAGACAGGGACAATCAAAGACAGAGACATATAAAAATGTAAACATAGAACAAAAGACACATCATATAAAAGACAGAGAGAAATAGAAATGCACACAAATAGAAATATAGAGACTTACAGATACACAGTGACATAGAAAGAGCACATAGACAGGCAGAGATATATAGAAAGAGAGAAACATAAAAAAACAGAGATATTTAGAAATACAGATCACACAGCAGCAATACAGAGAGAGACATAAAAAGACAGAAAGAAAGTGACAGAAATGGGCATGAAAGAAACCTGCATGAAGAACATATATAGATAAAGAGTCTATTTGATATATACAAAGTATACCCATCACTTAAAAACCCAAAATAAAATATAGTATAGCCATATCATAAATACCATGTATATGTATCTACACTTTCTACAGAAAAACAAATAAACAGATTCAAACAAAGTACAAAAGTTAATACAGCAAAGGGTACAGCAAAATATGACTAAAAACAATTATCATATGAAGAATTCAAGACACACAGAAAAATACATACATTGTACATTATATGCACAAATCAACATGAAGCATGCACAAAATATCAGAGGACAAAAACAAAATACTTCTAAGATAAAAAAAACATGATTATATATAAAAGTAATAATTCTGAATCACATGCAGATAACTCCACAGAAACCTACACTCATGAACAAAAGTGCATATGCCACACACAAAATATGACATCACAACAACAACAACATATACATACACATAATTTAAAATTAAAGACAAAAAAGTGAAAAAAATTAAATTACAGCAGGC